GGCTCGCAGGCTTCGCCCTCGCCTTTCTCCTCCACACCTCATCCTCGTCTCCTGAATGGTAGGGGGCAGCAAGGGGCAAGCAGAGGCAGCCATGTGTGTGCGTGTGAGGATAGAAGAAGGGCGAGGACGCAGCGCGGAAGAGACCGACTGTCGCTCGCCGTGTCTGTCAGAGTCTGGCAGAGATGGCCGCCTCTAGGTATATTGCATGTTGTGCCCCTCATTGAAGCCCCAGCGGGGGAGGGGGGAGCGAAGGGAAACAGGATGGAAGGAAGAAGTGGGAATGGATAAAGAAATCAGCAGAAAGGAGAAGACGAAGGAATACTGGATGAAGTGAGATGTGGTGCAGCCAGGACCGCTGACCAGCCGCCTCGGACCGACGGGTGATTGTTCAAAAGGTATGGCGAAGTGCCAGGACACGAGTGGCGCGGCGTGAGCTGTCGCGAAGGTGCCGCGGACACGCCCGAAGGGAACCCGGGATGTTAGGTGAGACGTGTTGCAGCTAGCACCGCTGACCACAGCCGAACAGCTGACAGGAGAAATGAGCGCCGACCAGATGTGTCGACGAGTAGCTGGCAACGGAGAGATTTGGCAGCTAGGACAGCTGACAGGAGAAGAGCCCGTCGACCAGGGGCCTCGACGGGCAGCCGGCGGCAGCGCGGGGACGGCTAGACCCCGACCCTTGGAACAGGGCGCCTGCGCGCGAGCCGAATCCAGCAAAACGCACGAGGGGCCCGAAAGGGAGACGAACCGAATCCCGCGAACCCGCAGAAGCCCCTTTCCCGAGCGCACAGCCCCCTGAGAAAGGACGCCTAGCGGGGGTGGATATCATGGCGTGGACCATGATATCTCCCCAGATTTCATGGCGCCTCTTCTTATTTCATTACGTCCCTGGCCCCCCCGCTGGGCCGCGCACATGCCGCCGGTCATGATTTGCACCCCCCCTCTTGGACACCTCCCTCTTGGCCGCTCCCGATGATTCATCGTCACCCTCCAGTACAATGTGCTGGTCAAGCACTGTCTTGCTCCAGCCTCAGGCGGAGCCGCCCTCTCGAATCGGATCCCGACGGTTTCGAAGTCCAGTCGAGGTCGTCTTTGCAGGACGTCTCGGGCGGGAGCGCCACCTCGAAGTCGAGGCCCAGAGTTTCGGAAGCGTTCGAAACTGTTTTTTGGAAGAGGCCTCGAGCGAAAACCACACTTGCGAAATCTCTGGTCAGAAATTTAACGGTCTAAATGCCAAGCGGTGTGGTCATGTCCGAAGGACGGTTTCGCGTCAGAATTCCTCAGCAAACAATTCCGAGCGATTTCGGATATTTCGGGTTTGATTTCAAAACGGCGCTCCCGCGCAAAATTTCCTCCACAGTAGGATTCGAAGCTTTCCTGGTGTGATTTCGAAATGGCGCTCCAGCCCAGGACTTCCCCCGAAACAGAATTCGGGGCTTTCGGGTTCGATGTCGAAATGGCGTTCCCGCCCAGGACTTCCTGAAAACTGGAATTCGACACCCTTTGATTCGATTTCAAAGTGGCACCCCGCCCAGGGCTTCTTCGAAAATGGAGGTCGGCACTTTTTCAGATCGAACTCGCAATGACGCTCCCTCCTAAGACGTGCCTTGGTTGAAGCACGAAACGGATCAACAAGCATCGTAGCGCCGATGTATGAGTAAGTCCGAGTGTGAGTAAGTGAGTCGGAGGAAGAGGAAGAGGAGGAGGAGGAAGGGAGGAAGAGGAGGAGGAGAGGAGGAGGAGGAAGAGGAGGAGGAGGAGGAGGAGGAGGAGGAGGAGGAGGAGGAGGGGGAGGGGGAGGGGGAGAGGGAGGGGAGGGGGAGGAGGAAGGTAGAGGAGGAGATCCGGAGGCGCCTGAGAAATAACAAGAGACCCATCTCAGGATGTGGGGCATAATGACACAGGCGTAGACTTTCAGGCGGATTTCTGCGAACGGCGTTGGAGCCCCCTGGCGGTGCGCGGTTGGTCAGGGCACCATGTCTCGGAACCAGGGCAGCGATGGCGTTACTTTTGCCATGTTTTCGCAACGTTGGGCCTCTTGGGAGGTTTTGGTCGCCACCGCTGGATTCGCCCCGAAGTTCTGGTCAGAACGCATCACGGGAGAGGTCTGGGAAGCAGCGGGTTAGGCTCGTGCGGGTGGTAATGAAGGATGACCAAAACAGGGGTTGAAGAGCCCTAAAAGGGCCTTTTAAGGCCCATTTTGGAGCCAGCTGGTGCCAAAAAGAGGCCCTAAAGGGTCCCTTTAAGGCCTTTTTCTTCACCCCCATGTGGGGCACCCCCCACTACCACCCGCCAGATTGGCATCTTTTCGTCTCCCCATAAGAGCAGTCCTAGCTTTGGAGGGGTATACTGCCCTTCTGGTCGTCGTGCCTGGGGTTCCCATGCGGCGTGCTCTTCGCTTCGGGCATCTCCATGGCGCCCTGGACTTTCGGCGAAGGTGCTTCTGCTCTTGACTTAAGTTATTTTTGCCATGGCTCGACTGTAGTCTACTTGTGTCACATCACGGGCTATTGGAAAGCGAATGCCGTGCCACATCACGGGCAGCTGGACTCCCGGTACCCCAGATACCCCAGTTGCCCGTCTTAGGCCATTTCAGGTGTGTGGTGGCCAGAGGAACAGCAGGAGGAGGATGAGGAGGCGGCATCGGGAGGATGATGAGGAGGAGAAGGAGGGATGTGAGCAGGAGGAGGAGGAGGAGGAGGATAATGAGGATGACGAGGGCTCGAAAGAACGTGCTGAGCGTTGGCATGTTGAACTATGCGTCGCCGCCAGTTTCATATACCGACATCTGGAGTGCCCGGCAGGGTTTTAAATGGCCCGTGGATGAGGATGGCGAGGAGGTCTTGAAGGGCTTCCGAGTAGGAGGAGGACAAAATGGAGGGGGATGAAGGCAGGCAGGATTGGGCGGGGGGACGAGGGAGATGACGACGAGGAGGAGAAGGACGACGACTAGTTGGACGAGGAGGAGGAGGCGGAGACGAGTATGAGGTGGAGACGAAGGGGGAGGGACGCTATCAGCTATTAGGTCCAGGGACCAGACAGGCACTGGAAGGACGCGACGGGGAGTCTGGAGGGGCCGCATGAAGTGGTTTGCTCAGCAGCGTGATAAGACTATTCGTCCTCACGCTCATTCCCTGCCATGATGAAGGACTGCGATCTGTGACGGAGTCATGCGAACATGCATGCGCTGACTGTGATCAGCCGCGGCCCGGCACTGTTTCTCAATGCGTCAATTATACATTTGCTTGCGGCAGCTCCAGCCACCCTTGGGTGGCCGTGGTTCGGAGATCGCACAGTTGGCATCAATTAACGTGTGACACATCGTTTCCCGAGCTTTGGAATATCCTTGACATGTGACACACTCATCCGCGTCGTGTCGGGGGTTATCTTCTCGTCTTCGTCGTCCTCCTCCCGTTCTTCCGTCCTTTGTTGGGCTCCTGTCGGGCAGTCTTTGGGGGGGTCTTTTGGGCAACTTTAGGCCATTTTGGCGCCGTCTGGGGCCTCTCTTGGACCGTCTTGGGGCCCTCTTGGCCATCGGGGGGACATCTCGCGGCCGTAGTGGAGGCTTCACGGGACCGTTTTGGGGAGCTTTGTCAAGCCGTCGTGGGTCTTGAAGGCCCTGTGGGGCCAGCTTGGGGCTCTCCTGGGGCCATCCTGGGCCTTCTTGAGCTGCGTTGAAGCGTTTTGGGAGGAGTACTGGGCTATTTGAGGGCCCCCCTTGGGGCCAAATTGGATGCTTCTAGGGCCACTCCAGGGCCGTCTGTAACTGTACGACGCCCAACTATTTCCAAACAAATCGAAGACACATATGAGTTTGACATCGCTTCCCCATTTGGGCTGCCTTGGCGGCCTGGTGGGCCTTCTTGAAGCCATCTTGGGGGCACCTTGAGCCAGGACCTCGCGGACTCATCGCTGTTGTACGAGCGATCGTGGCCTCTGGAGCGCGGCTCCTCTGTTTTCTGCTAGGGAGCCTCAGGAGCGCGGATGCACAGTTGTCTGGTTGCCGGGCGACGCAGGAGGAGGAGGAGGAGGAGAACGGAGAGGAGGAGGAGGAGGAGGAGAGCGGAGGAGGAGGAGGAGGAGGAGAGCGGAGGAGGAGGAGAGCAGGAGGAAGAGGAGGAGGAGGAGGTGGTGGAGGAGGAAGAGGAGGAGGAGGAGAGGGAGGAGGAGGAGGGAGGAGGGGAGGGAGGGGGAGGAGGGGGAGGAGGCCCGCCCCCCTCGGTGCGACGAGGCGGGGAGGGGGGGCGGACCTCGAGGATGCTGCAGCGGCCCGGGCAGGCTGCGTTTGGCCCTCCACCGCGCCCCCCAGCGGCTCCGGGGGCACGGCGTCGGAGAAGGGAGGGAGAAGGGCGAGGGGCTCCAGAGTCGGGGGCGGCCAAGGGGGGGGGTGATGACTTAGGGGGGATGGGTATCATGGCGTGGGCCATGATATCTTCCCAGAGATCACGGCGCCTCTTCTCACTTCACTACGTCCCCGGCCCCCCCCGTGTGCCGCGCACATGCCACCGGCCATGATCTGCGCACCACCTTCTTGGACGTCCCCCTCTTGGCCGCCCCCGACGGGGGGGAGGCTCCAGAAGGCGACGAAGAAAGAAAGTCAACCCACATAGGAAGGATGGGCAACCCTCCCCAGGGTACCCTTGCGTCCTTGCCCCTTCGGCCCATCCTTAGCGACTCTCGCTGGCCAACCCAGTTCGACAAGCGCTAACGTAGCCCTCCAAGGTCCCCGCGCATCCATATCATACGGGCTGTCGGTAACCTTTCGCAGCCCCACGCAGATCTCTTGGATCTGCGTTGGGCCCCCCTGGCGGCGCCTCCGGCGCCGCCCTTGGCGCGCTCCGCGAGGGTCCGAGATGTCCGCGCGGATCTCCGAAAGTCTATGTAGATGCCGTTTGTTTTTTCGCTCTTCCAAGACGACCGAGCGGGCGGGGAGAAGAGAGCGGGACTGGGGGGGGGGGGCTGCTCTTCTCCGCGCGGGCGCGCCCCCCTGTCCGCCCGAGGCGGCTGGGCCACCTGGGCGTCCGGGTGCAGTTCCACGTCGGCAAGATCCAGGATGGGGGGCTCGAGCGGCATGGTTCTGCCGGCGACGTCGTGGGCTGTTGTCGCTTCGATGTCGCCTCGAGCGGGGGAGGGCCGAGAACAGAACGATAACGAAGAACGCTGGTCGGGTGCAGTTCCACGTCGGCAAGATCCAGGACTCGGGGCTCGAGCACAACGGTCACAGTGTGGGCGCGTACCAGGAAACGGGGTGTTTTCGCCAGGGAATTGTGGGTTTCTTCGACCCACGCGTTCCGCGATGGTTTCCCGCGGGCGTCAAGAAATGTTCGCGTTCACGAATCCCTGAGTTTCTTCCCGACTGCACCTCGCGGACGCAGTGCCCCGCCACTGAAGAAACACCGTTGCGCCGAAGGTGCGTTGAATTCCTTGCGTCCGCGCGTAGCGGTGAGCCGTGCAGTCGGGCGTCAGCAGCGACATTCGAAGGTTCGTTGGGTCCCCGCGGAGCGCCTTCGGGCCCGAACTGTTGTTCGAACAGCACTGGGGTTATCCCGCAGCGCGGCACGCGACGAAGCTCCTCGGCAGGATTCCCTGGGTTTCTCCGCCTGGAGCCCTTGGCCAGGCAACCAAAATCAGGAAGGAAAGAAACACACAGACACAATTAATCGTCGACTCCCACGAAAATGGGAAAAGATGGGAAGTGGGAGGGAAGACAAAAGCACAGAAAATATAGAAACATATGGGGAATCCTGTTATTTGTATGTATCTATCTGTGTTTGTGGGCCCCTTCACAAAGCTTGGGCAAAACAGTTGGTTGGTTTTCAGGGTTGGGTTTCTTGGGGCGGTTTCCCGTGGCCGCACCCCCGCTGTATGTTGGTGCTGTCGTGGGACGTTGTCGTCTCGATGTCGCTTCGTCTCGATGCCGCTTCGAGCGAAGGCGAGCCACGAACACACTACGAGAAAGTAGAGCGGCGTCCTCAGCTCGAGGAGGAGGAGGAGGAGGAAGAGGAGGGGGAAGAGGAGGAGGAGGGGGAGGAGGAGGATGGGGTGGAGAAGGAGGACGAGCCACTGGAGGAGCAGGGGGAGGAGGAGGAGGAGGAGGAGAGGAGGAGGAGGAGGAGGAGGAGGAGGAAGAGGAGGAGGAGAAGGAAGAGAGGGAGGAGGGCGAGGAGGAGGAGGAGCAGCCCGAGCCCCGCCAGGACTTTGACGAGGCGTTCTACAGAAAGTTCAACGTCATCATCGCAGGCGGGGGCTCCCAAACCTTCTGGGCAGAGGCTCGGGGCCTCTCCGACGGCCTGGCCTCTTCCTGGTGCCTCCAGGGCGCATGGCGCGCGGGCCACGGCAGACGACGTCGGGCCGCCAGCTCGGGCACTCGAGCGGCAGACTCGCCCCTCGTGAGCGCTCCGCTCGGGCGGGCGGTGCGGTCGGACTGAGGCACGAGAGCGGGGTCGATCACGGGAAGGGTACCCTGCAGTCAACCCGCGCAGTGCGGATGGGCAACCTTCCCAAGGGTACCCTGGCATCCTCGCCTCGGCGGTCCATCCGTGGCCGCTTTCGTCGGCCGCGCCCCGCTCGGAAAGCCTCGCAATCGGCGTCCAAGCCTCCTTGCATCCTCATCGAGCATCCTTATGATACGGGCCGACGGTACCCTCGGGCCGAGGTATCAGATCGAGCCTCGATCCGGGAAGGGTACCCTAATGATCTCATTGTTTGTCGGATGATCTCGTGCATCCTGGGGGGCTACCCTCGGGTGATCTTATGATCTGGGGTGTTTCGGCCAGCGGAGGGTTGCACGTTCTCCAATGGTGCTCGTCTGTCCCAGGTCCGATCGTAGTGGGGGGTGACCTGAATGGGGGGTGAAGAGGACGGCCCTACACAGAGCCCCTTCGGGGCAGCCGGCGAGGCCGGCGAAAGCTCACCACAGAGCGCCTGCAAAACAAGCTATCACATACATCACAGGTTTGAGATCGTCAGCTGTTGCACTGTGCGGGTGAAGAAGAGGGCCGTGCAGAGCCCCTACGGGGCAGTTTTCGCCCTTTCCCCCCCCCCCATGCAGGGCCCCATCCGCCCTCTGCCGCCCGCCGGCGGCCTGGACGGAGGGGTGAAGAACAGGGCAGGGCCCTGCAGAGCCTTTTTGGGACCGCTTTTTGTTCCTTCACCCCCCCCATGCAGGTCGCCCCCCCGCGGCCGCCCGCCGGAGGGAGGAGGAGGAGGAGGAGGAGGAGGAGGAGGAGGAGGAGGAGGAGGAGGAGGGGGAGGGAGGAGGAGGAGGAGGAGGAGGAGGAGGAGGAGGAGGAGGAGGAGGAGGAGGAGGAGGAGGAGGAGGAGGAGGAGGAGGAGGAGGAGGAGGAGGAGGAGGAGGAGGAGGAGGAGGAGGAGGAGGAGGAGGAGGAGGAGGAGGAGGAGGAGGAGGAGGAGGAGGAGGAGGAGGAGGAGGAGGAGTGTGCCGCGCCGACGGCGCTCGTAAGCCGCGGCGACGGGCCCGATGCGCGACCGGCGGCGACGCTGGGGGCGAGCAGCCCATGGGGGAGCTAGCCATCCATTTAGGCCGGGTATGTCCCCCCACAGGCCAATTTTAGGCGAAGAATCAAACCATACCCCACAGATGCCAAGCAGACATCAAAACATCCTAACACATCGTCCACGGACTCTTTGTCTCGACTATTTGGGAGTATTCCTCTTGTGGAGGGACAGGCCCGACTTAACCATGCGTGTGTCCCAGGGGCGCCGAGGGTCCGTGTCTTCGGCGAGGCTTCCGGGCGAGTGCGTGCAGTGCCCGCCCCTGGCCGGCGGCGAGCGACGGGGGGGAAGTGAGGAGGAGAGCCCTCTCGGAAGGCTCGGAAGTCCCCCGGGCCTTCTGAGAAGCTGTCTGAGCCGTCCCCGGGGGAGGGGGAGGAGCAGGAGGAGGGAGGGGGAGGGAGGGGGAGGAGCAGGAGGAGGAGGGGGAGGGGGATGGGGAGGGGGGGGACGAGGGGCAAGAGAGGTGGCGGAGGATGAGGAGGAGGAAGCGGGAGACCGCTTCCGCTGAAGGACCTGCCTCGTTGGAAGACAGCCGTTTGACGACCCTGTAGCATGCCAGAACATTGTTCTCGGGATTGCAACGCCACGGATCAATCGGACTATTGCGTCTTGACGATCTTGAATCGTGCCAGAACGCCATTCTGGGGACTTCAACACCGCGAATCAACGGAGAAATTCCAAAATACATCTTCTGAAACGTTGATTACTGGAATCCGTGAAACTCTTCTTGCAATTTCCAAGTACGAATGTACGCGGCGCTCAGGCGAGACCCACATGTTGAAGAGAGCATCCCTCAACCCGTGAAACCCTTGCAAATGGTTAACGCGAATGTGCGCGACGCTCAGGCGAGGGCCATAATTCCAAAACGACCCGCCCTCAATCCGTGAAATCTTTGTGAATGTTTAAAAATGTGCTCGGCGCTTAGGCGAGAGCCACATTTCGAAAACCACCCGCCCTCGATCCGTGTAGCTCTTGCAGATGTCTGAAGCAAAGGTGCGCGGTGCTGAGTCCAGAGCCACATTGTGAAAACCACCCGCCCGCAATCCGTGAAGCCCATGCAAATGTTCGAAAACGAATGCGCGCGGCGCTAAGGCAAGGACCACATTTTGAAAACAACCCACCCCCAATCCGTGAAGCTCTTCAAATGTCTAAATCAAAGGTTCGCGGCGCTGAGGCGAGGGCCGCATTTTGAAAACAACCCGCCCATAATCAGTGAAATTCTTGCAAAGTGTTAGAACGACTGTGCGCGGTGCTCAGGCGAGAGCCACATGTTGAAAACGACCCGCCTTCAAGCGTGAAACCCGTACACATGATTACAACGAATGTGCGCGGCGCTAAGGCGAGGGCCATATGTTGAAAACGACCCGCCCTCAATCCGTGAAACTCTTGGGAATGCTGAAAACGCATGTGCCCAGCGCTTAGGCGAGAGCCAAAGTTTGAAAACCACCCGCCCTCGATCCGTGAAGCTCTTGCAAAGTATTAGAACGAATGCGCGCGGCGCTAAGGCGAGAGCCACATGGTGAAAACAACCCGCTCTATTTATGTGAAGCTGTTGTCAGCGTTTGAGTTTCAGGGTCATGAATGGTGAGAGAGTCTCAGGCGAAACGCCCGGCCCGCCCTAGAGCTGCCCTCGGGTCGCGACAGGGAGAAGTTGTTTATCAGGAAAAAGAATGGAGGAGAAAGAGCAGGGAGGAGGGAGGAGGGAAGGAGGATTAGCGAGGAGGAGGAGAAGGGAGGAGGAGGAGGCGGAGGGAGGAGAGGGGAGGAGGGAGGACGGAGGAGGGAGTAGGAGGGACGAGCAGGGAAGGGAAGAGGAGGTAGGAGGAGGGAGTAGGGAGGACGGAGGAGGGAGGAGCGAGGAGGAGGAGGTAGGGAGGAAGGAAGAGGGAGGAGGAGGCTGAAGCGATAGGGCGGACAGCAATTGGCCGCCACTCCTGGCATGGCTCAGGCATGTGGAGGTCTTCGGCGGCGAACGAGGAGAGGAAGTGAGAAGGGGCGGGGCTTTTCAGAAGGCTCGGAAGCCCCCCAGCCTTTTGCGAAGTGTTAAACTCTGGCCATCTGAGGAGTCCCGCCCGCTGCCTCCTCAGAAGGCCGTCTCCTTCTACTTAACTTCCCCCCCTCGCTCGCCGTGAGCTTCGGTCCGCGAGGACCATGGAAGTCAGAGGAGGAAGAGGTACCCATACCGCTACCCCGCCCGTCTTCCCCGTGTTCGGCCTCTCAGGAGGCCCTCGTCGCCACCGTTGGTTCCGCCTCGAAATCCTGGTCAGAACGCACCCCCGGAGAGATCTGGGGAGTAGCGGTATCAGTACCGTTTGGTTTCCACAGGACGAGCCACGCGCAGAGGGGTGTGAGGAGAGGGTTTCTTACAGGCACCCCTGCTTCGAAGAGGCCTTCCCCCCTCCCCCCACACCGTTGTGCGCGCCGCCATTTTTCCTTAGCGAGCACCATCGAGGAGCATCTCGGCGCATCTTCCGAGAACAACAAACGCACCAAGCCGAAACACGCCTGGGGAGTGGACGTCCGAGCGATGGCCAGCACTCCACCTGGGAGGGCTGCGGCCATCGCGCCGACCACCGCAGTCTTCGAGAGAACGCTCCCTCTGCAGGAGCGCGCAGTGCCACGGCACCTGGCCGAACCCACGAGGGAGAAAGGAAGGACAATGGAGGGGGGTGCCCCAGAGGACAGGGAGGCGCGTCAGGGCTGTGGGGAAGTAGGGGGGGGGGGCAGTGGGCGAAGTGGAAGGAGCACAGCAGTGGAGGAGGATCGGGAGTAGGGCAGGAGAATGAGCAGGCCGGGTAGGAGGGCGAGGAGGAGGAGGACGAGGAGGACGAGGAGGAGGAGGGGGAGGAGGAGGAGGAGGAGGAGGAGGAGGAGGAGGAGGAGGAGGAGGAGGAGGAGGAGGAGGAGCAGGAGCAGGAGCAGGAGCAGCAGCAGCAGGAGCAGGAGCAGGAGCAGGAGCAGGAGCAGGAGGAGGGACGCGCTTGACCTGGGCCTCGGCGCCTGCGACGGGTGATAACAAGAGGCGCTCTCGCGATGGGCGTCCTCGCTCGGCTCCCCCCCTCGTGTTCGCTGCCAGCTCTCGCCGCGTCTCCCTCGCCGCTGCCCCCCTCGTCGCTCCCCCCTCGTCTCCCCCCCTCGTTTTTTGCTCCCCCCCCCCCCTCGCCTCCTCCCCGCTCGCGCCCTCGCTCGGTTCCCCCTCGGTGGTCTTCTCTCCCCCCGTCTCGTGCGCCCGGGGCCCCGCACGGGGCCTCGCACGGGGCAGCACCCGCGCGCCCCTCCGGCTCGGTTTTGTTTCTGGCGCCCCGGGGGCTCGGGCGCCGTGCCCGCGCGTCGATAGGGGGGCGGGAGGCGGTGCCGCTGCAGCGCGGGAGGCCAGCGCTCACCGGCCCTGCTGTGGAGCGCGTGGCGTTCCCACGCCGGAGCTCAGGGAGCGGCAAAGAGGGGGGTGATGACTAGGGGGGGGTGGATGTCATGGCGGGGGCCCTGATTTTTTTTTTCTCAGATTCCATGGCGCCTCTTCTTGTTTCATTACTTCCCTGGCCCCCCCGCTGGGCCGCGCACATGCCGCCGGTCATGATTTGCACCCCCCCCCCTCTTGGACAGCCCCTCTGGGCCGCTCCCGAAGAGCTCAGTGGACGTCCTCGTGTGTGACCCAAGAGGAGGGTCCAGCTGAGAGGGGGTGGTGCCATAGAGGTGTGGGGCAATGTGTATGGCAAACGTGACTCTGGCGCCAGAGAGTCGCATTGCATTCTGTATTGCGAGTGGTGTGTTGCACGCGGACGTCCAGCAATGCACTTGCGCCCCAGAATGCGTTGCGCGTCCCAGATGCATTGCAAGCCCACGAATCTATTGCACCAAATCTATTGCACCACCCCCTTGTCGCTAGACCCCCTTTTATTAGGTCAACCCGAGTCCTTGGGTCTCAGGGTTGGGCTTTTTGTGGAAGGTTTCTTGTGGTCGACCTCCTATTGTATTCCCATCCCCGTGACCGGCATTGGATCATCGCTTTGGCTCGGTGCCGATAGTGAGGATTCTTCTGGTCGTTTGAATGGGGTATCCGTGAGATTGCCCAACGTCTCGGGTTTGTCGTTTCCAGGGGTAGGGATAAGTCCGAGGCCGGTTAGCGCCGCTCCTTCCTTCTGGGTGGCGCTTCCCCGGCAGCTGTCGGCACCTCCTACCGGAGAGGAGACATGTCCGACTGAGGGCCAGGCTTCAAGCGGCATGGATTCTGAGTTAGGGGGCAGGGTCCCACATCTTGTAGAGTTTCCATTCCTCCGTGAGTGAGCCTGCAAGCACGGCGCTGGACTAGGTCATGGTTTTCGTCCTTGCGAGCTGCATTCCTTTAAGCAGAAGGGGTCAGGACGGTCTGCTGCTCGTTGCCCCAGGTCTTGACAACATCGACGCCCGCAGGCGGCGCGTGCTTCCCCGCTCTTGTTCCTGCACCTCCCCACCGTTCCTTCTAATTCTACGTTGCTCCGCCTTGCTACGGGTTGGGGGTCTGAGGTGGCCCAGCATTGGTTCCGGCCAGCAAGATGGGGGGGGGCAGGTTCGAGGGTCTAGGCTCGGGAAGGTTTTTGTTTGTCTTTTTCTGCCTCCAGGGCCACTTTCGAGCCCCGCGACAGTGAAACACGGATCTGGAGTGAAACATTGCACCAGGTCGAGGACCTTGGGAGGGGTGCGGGGTCCGTTTCCGAGCGGATTTGGCCTCAACCCTCTTCCTGACTGATTTTCCTGGGCCCCAACCAGTTCAGACCTTCCGTAGCCGCTTTCAATCTCTTCCCCATCCCCTGAGCACATACACATGATTCTCCGCTTGTGGTCGTCCTCTTTCTTCGAGTAGGGGATCGACGACAAAAGTGATTTGCCTCGAGATTGATTTTCTCGTCGAATATATGACAACTGCTTAAAATGCTCTGCAGATCTACTACAATTATGCGCATCTTGTTTTAGACCCGCCAAGAACATGGAAATTGGCGTGCATCAATTATGTAGTCGATCCTCTACTCGATGTCTAACAGGCTACCGGGATATCCAGTTGCGTGGTCACTCATTTGCCCAGCTATGTTTTTGGTTGGCTTTTCTCTTGGGGCCAAGGGTCGAACGGGCAGCTCTCTTCATAGCCTCCGCTCTTCCTTTTCCTGCTCCTTGTGCTCGTGACGAGGGCGAGGACACCGAGGAGTGAGGTCAAGGAGCGGGCGGGCGGAGAAGGGTGGTGGTCGAGGAGGCAGACCTCACACAGAGGGGAGTGACTAGATAGCAAATCCTGCGCGGCCGCGCAAGTTCGGGCGCCGATTCGAAGCCGAGAATGTGTGTCAGGCAGTTCGTCATGCAGCCGTCCAAGTCGAACTCTGATGCTCGTCTTGCGATGTCGTCTCGGCACCCTTTTTTGCTTGAGGCCGGCGATCTTCTCAGCAGCAGAGATATATGGGAAGCGTGTGCCCGCAGGTGGATGAACGCCACCCTGCACGACATGGTCGATAGAACATCTGGGGAGCCTGACCCCAGCACCATTATACCTTTGATTGATGGCGGCACCGAGGGCTTCAAGGGCCAGGCGCCGCCAGTTGTTTGTTGGGTTGTGCATGGGGACGGTACGGATAGTTCGCAGTGTGTGCAGTGTTTGTTACTGTGTGTAGTGTGCATGTGTGTGTTATTGTGTGAGTGTGTCATGTGTGTCATTGTGTCAGTGTCATGTGTGCATGCGTGCTTGGTATTGCGTGTGTCGCGTAAGTGTGCATGTGTGTGTGTGTGTGTTGTTTTGTGTAGTGTGTGCAGAGTGTGTTTTTTGTGCGCAGTCTGTGTGTAGTGTGTGTGTGTGTGCGTGTGTGTGTGTTTTTGTGTGTGTGTGTGTCTCACTTATCTTCGCGCGCTAACTCTTTGCCCCCCTGGCCACTTCCCGCGCCATGGCCCCCCGAGCCCTCCCCCGGCCGCTGTGCTGACGCCGCCTCCTGGGGCCCCTTGGGCAAGTTCGCCTCCTCGGCGCGATGTGGCCAGCGCCCGCCCCGCGCTCGGTCCTGCGCCGGTGCCGCCTCGGTCGGCATCCTGGCCGTTCGCGGCAGCCTCTGCGGGGCATGTGCGCCCGTCTCTGATGGGGTATAGCCAGGACCCCGGGTAAGGGGACCGGGTTAGTGGTAGGGCCCCGGGGCCCCTCAATTGGCCGGATTCACTAAGCCAGGTTCGCCGTAGCTGGTGTTTTTCGGGTGGCGGCAGTTCCGGTCAGTGGAGATGGGACGGGGGGGCGCCCCTGGTACAAATCACTGCACCAGGTTCCACTAGACCCAGTTCTGCCAACGCTCGATTTGAGTTTGCAGCAAGCACGGCGTCCTTTTCTCTTTCACCGGGCCGTCTCCAGCTGCTGGGGGCGATTCGATGCCAGTGTCGTTGCGCGCCCAGCTGCCGAGGACAGAGTTGTTCCGGGTGGGTGAGTGGGTACGGAGGGGGGAGAGAGAGAGAGAGAGAGATAGATAGAAACAAAGAGTGAGAACGAGAGAGAAAGAGAAGGAGCTGAATTGTGGGAAGACGAGTTGCGGAATCGGAGCGAGCCACCAGCATCACAGCAATGCGCCGTCAGAAAATCCTCGCCACGATTCTCAATCTGGGTGGCCAGCCATGTTGGAAGAGTTGTCTTCGAACGCATCGTGGAGCTGTAAGGTAGACACAGTTAGACTTGTTCTATGTCATGGAAATAATTACTATTCTCCGTTCTCCGTTTCCCGTGAGAAAGATGATGTGGGTTGTTTGAACGTGCTGACTCGCGCATGGCGCACTTCGCTGTGCCAACGCTGTTCGCAGGGATTTCCTCAAGAAGCTCATTCGAAATGTGCCGGATTGCGTTCGGCGGTCATCCTCGTGCCACCGGCGCTGCCAGGATGAAAGGGAGGTTCGTCTGAGCGCGCGGGCTCGCTTCCAGCACGCAAGCGCAGTGCGAGCGTTTCTCGTTGTTGGGCAGCCCGCTGCAGGCTCTCGCTGCAGGTCCCGTGCCTCTCCCCGCTCGTGTCATTCCAGGGTTCTCCCCGTGATGTTCGTGAACGTGCTGGCTTGTTTGAAGTGCATCTCACGCTGCCAACGCTGCTGCCAGGACGCGCGCGCCAAGCGTGATGGCTCAGAGGGGCCGCGCATCGCGTGATCAACGCTGCCGGCAGCAAGCTCACTCCGAGCGCGCCAGTATTGTGATTTTCGCATGGCCAACACTTTTGCCGAGGATTCTGCCGATCAGCTCATAGCAGGAATGCACGTGCGCATTGATGATCATGATGGCATCGCTGATGCCAAGAAGCGCATGCCAATCGTGTCAGTTCGCGGGCACCGAACATCGCATGGCCAGCGATGTCGGCTGGAAACTGATTCCGAGTGTGCTGGCTCGCGTATGGCCCACATCTCACGACCAGCATTTGCACCCAGAGGCTCACTCCATGCGTGCCCGCTCGCACGCGATGGTCACCGCGCTACCCGCATTGATACCAAGAAGCTCAGTCCGAGCATGCCCGCTCGCTTCCAGCACGCTTCAAGTTGCTTGGAAGGGTTACTTTGAGAGTCGGGGACGGCAATCATTAGATAACCAGATCTTTCCGTAAGATAGTGTCGTTTGAAGCACGCCAACGCGTAAAGTTGTTGAGACAATGATGCAACAACACATGAGAGACGAGTATTATCTGGGAGGAAGCGACAATTAGGATGTACATAGTCACAAGACGCGATGTTGTTGGTCATCGCACATGGAGTCTCTTCCTGAATGACCACGAAGCAAACGAAAGCGAAGAGGACCCGGTGAGCTCGTCGGGCATGTCGTGAGCCAGCGTTTGAGCGTGCATCGAATTGCCCGTGGCCGACTTATGATGATTCCAGGCGAGGGTGATCGTGCCCTTCATGACCTCTTGTTTCGACTGCTCGCTCGATGCTTTCCCGCCTCAGGTCGCAGGGATCGTGCGGAAGGCGACAGACGAGAGGGGAGGGAAGAGGAAGGGTCATCGAGAAGAGGAAGAGAGAGAGGGAAAAAGACAGAGACAGCGGGATGGAGATGGGACCCGAACCAGATCTAATATTCGTGGATGTCCATGCGTTGATTGTTGTTGTTCATCTTCTTTGTTCCATGCACGGAGCGTCCTCTGTTCACCAGACGCGTTTTTCAAGAGCTTCACGGTATCCATTTGATTGCGGTAAACTCCGCCAGTTACCAGCGCAGCAGCTCAACAGGAATTGGATTGTTTCCGACCTGCTGCAGTTCAGCACCCTGTTTAAATTGGCGTTGGTCTTGAAATCCATCTTTGTCTGCGGCCTCGTGTCCTTCTTTTCTCCCTCCACATCCGTTCTCTCCGCCTCTCCTTCCCCCCTCTTCCATGCATCTTGGGGGCACTGGGAGCATCTTGAGGGCGGCCTGTTGGGGGCCCCAAGAGCCCTTCGGGGGCATTGGGGCCATCTTGGGGGCGATGGTTCCGCAGAGCTCTTCCAGACAGGCTCCGTTGAATCATCGTGGTGACGCCTCGGCGGGGCTTGGGGCCATCTTGGCTGTCTCCGGGCCGTGCCAGGCTGCCTTGAGGGGCTGGCTCTCCGAAGACTTCCCGAGGCGACAGCAAGCCGAACTGCACCGGAGGCAAAAGACCGTGTGCTTCAATACCTCAAGTGCGAGGTTCATTTGTGTGACGTATCGGCCTCCCTCCCTCGTTCCCGCCTCTTCGCCTCCCTCTCTCACATACTCAGACTCAAATTCAGCCCACTCATACTCAGATTCACTTACACGCAGATTCATTCAGACTCACACACATACTGTTTCAGCCTCACGCGCACTTAGGCCATGCACATTCAGACTGCCTTACTCCCAGACTCACCCATACGTCGGCTCACTCATACTCCAAGTCGCCCATACTCACATTCGCTCTCAACCTTACTCTCACCCGAACTCATGTACACCCAGTGCCATTCACATTCAGACCGCGCATGCTCAGTCCTGGCCACGCTCAGACTCAATCGTACTCAGACAGTTGGGGCGCGCATCAAGAAACCATCTGCTTTTCGTCAGGGTATCCTGGGTTTCTTCGCTCCGCGCGCTGCGCGGTGACTTCCCGCAGCTGTTGAAGAAGCTGCTGCGTTCAAGGTGCTCTGGGTTTCCTCTCAGGTTGGGTTTCTTGCGAGGATTTCTCGCGGCCGCGCCCGCACTGTATCATTCACGTATGCTCAGACCCATTTTATTCCGACCCACCTGTACGCACAGTCATGCCTACTCGTGCCCATGGCCCATTAGCAGGGATGGCATTTGTCTTGGAGTTCCCGTTGGGGCTCGTCTTGTGTCGGGGAGGGGGAATTTTGTGGGGCACGCGCGGCGAGAAGGGTGCGGGAGGGGCGCACCTGGATACATACAAGAACCTTGCCAGGCAGCTCGCAGGCGTTCTGACACCCCCTATCCGCCTTTTCGCCTCTTCGTATCTGCAGAGATCGACTCCACGTCGTCCCCCTCCATTTCATGCTTGCCTCCGCGTGGCAGGTGCTCATCAGCGCCCCCCTCTTCCCGGATGATACTCCACCCGATGCTTCGGCGCTCCTCCTCAGCCTTCCTGACCCCCTCCCGAGACCACCAGCGCGCAGGTCAACTTCCCCCTGTGCACGATCGCCGAGACCCCACGGCTGCCCGAGCACTGCATCGAGTACGTCCTCGTGGTGATGTGGGAGACCCCATCGGGGCCGGGCCGAGGGTCGGCGGCGAGCGCGGGGGGAAGCGAGAAGAAGAAGGCCCTCTCTGAGGGCGGCGGGGCTTCTCGGAAGCCCCTCGCGCCTCTCTGATTGGGCGCCGCGTAATGGGGGGGTCATAAATTGGGGGGTGTCGCGGGTGGTCCGAAAAGGTACCCAAACATTGCCTAAACGAGCCCCCTGGGGCTCTGGAGGGGTCCGACAGGGGCACGAAAGGGGACCTTTTCTGACCCTCCGATTTGTGACCCCCCCATTAAGCCACGCCCAATCTGAGAATTGCTCTGCGCCTTCATGCTTCGGGGAAGGCGTCGGACACTTCCGGAGAAGGCTGGGGGATTTCCGAGCCTTCTCCAGACATGCGACGTCCCGATTTTCCCAGGACGGCATCCCTGGAAGTCCCGACCCCTTCTCCAGCACCGTTTTTGTGTTCGTCCTGCGTCGTTTTCTGGCGGTCCCGCGGCCAGGCGAGGGCCCCCGAGGTAGTGACCCCCCCCCGGTTTTCGAGTTCGATGGGGGGGGGTTAGGGGAGGGGTTAGGGGAGGGGGGGGGAGGGGTTAGGGGAGGGGGGGGGAGGGGTTAGGGGAGGGGGGGGGTCCAGCAGGGGGGGGGGGGATTTTCGGAGGGGAGGGGGACCCCCGGGCTCTGGAGGAAAAGGGCGGCAATTTTCCACAGTAAAGCGGAGGTGGATCACGCTCTCTCAAAAATCAGGACGGAGGGTTTGCGCAAATTTCAGCCCCTAGGGGCCCGCGCCAGGCCTCGGGACCATCAAAAAACGAATCAGGATGAAAAACTGGTCCTGGGGAATGGGTCAAGATTTCCGGGGACCGCGTATTGAAACAATCACGACATCGGATTTTTGGGAAGGTCTGACGGGGCTTGTCAAGAAGCCGTACGCCTATCGGCGCGTGGGCGAGGCAGCGCGCTGCATTGTGGCAGGACCCGCGGGCAGACGCATGCGCAGTTAACACCAGGTCGGACGGGGCTAGGATGAGGATGGGATGACAGTCGGACCGAGGTAGAAGGTATAAGATCGAGGTCGGTTCGGGGATGGTACCCTTATCTTCTCCGTGTCTGTTGGATATTGTAATGGCCTCTGGCCAGTGCCGCCGATCCGGGGGGGCTCCGGATTCGGCGATCTTCGCGGCTCTGTGGCCTCCTCTCTCCTCGATTCTGCCGGTCCTCTTTCTCCTCTGGGGGGGTCCCCGGGGGGGGGGTCCAGGGAGGGTTCCGAGAGGAGGGTCCTGGGGGCGGTAAATGCTAATTAGATCTAAGGGGGGTCCCTGGGATCCCCCGAAACGTTTTTGGGGATGCGCAAAAACATTACGACAACGCCAGATGGGGGACCGCCCCCCCGTTTTCCAGGGGGGGGTCCGGATGCGCAAACCATGAAGAAAACGCCAGATGGAGGACCGCCCCGCCCCCCCCTCCCCCCCCTTCCCCGGCAGAGCCACCCCGGCGACCCCCCCCAAGCAGACCTGAAGCTGTCGCTTAGGCTCAGAGCTGAAGCTAAGCTCTTGCTGAGACTCCTTGTAGTTCACACGCCGGATCGGCGGATCATTGTGCATCCTGAAAAAAGTTACCCTCGGATGCTCTGCGTGTCCTGGCCGGCGGAAGGTCTCGCGTTCTCGAGGGATGTTCTCCTGTCTTAGGTTCGATTGTACCGCGTGCCCCCCCCCCCTGTCCACGGGACGGGGAAGGGGGCGCGCCTCGGGGAGGGTCGCGCCGATGTTCCGCGGCGGCTTCCACGGACGGCTGCGGGCTGGTCGGGCGAGGGGAGGGGGGGGGTCGGGCGGAGAGAAGAGTGCAAAGGCACCGATGCTTGCCAGGCCCTTCCTGGGCCTAGGGTCGGTGCGTGCAGTCGGACCGAGGCGTAAGATCGAGGTCGGTTCAGGGAGGGCACCCTGGTGTTCTTCGTGCTTGTTTCAGGAGGGGAGAAAACACACAGACACAAGTAATCGTCGATTCCCCAGAACATATGGGAAACTATGGGAAGTGGGGGGGAAGACAGAAACCCAGAAACCATGGGAAAATGTGGGGCATATTCTTATCTGTGTGTGTTTATTTGTGTGTGTCCTGGGGCCCCTTCATTCTTGTGCACTCTGGGGGAGGGCACCCTCGAGCAAGAGCGAGGCCGAGGCCCAGGGATCTGTGTGTGTACGCTCGCCCGGCCAAGCCAGGTCAGCTGTGTGTCCCCCGAGGCCCGCACGCCCTACAGGGCTCGGCTTGAATAAAGGAACACTTACTCCAGATTTCGTAATAACAGGGAGGGGGTCTCATTTCGGGGGGGGGTCTCTTCCAGGCTATCTTGGAGGGCATGGGGGGGTCTGGGGACGATGTTCTGGAGGGTTCTCCCACGGGGGGGGGTCTGAATTGGCTCGTCTTGGAGGGTCCAGACCCCCTTCCCTTTTATTACGAGATCTGGAGTACTTTGCAAAAGGGGCTCGGTCGTTCCTCTGGTTTGCATGCGTTCCGCTGCCTTTTTAGCGGCGAGGCCCCTGGTGGTCCTTCGGACCTCCTTGACTTGCTTTGAAAATTACGCTACCGAGGAACCCCACATACGTCATTTAAATCTTATGCATTTGCTGCTCATTATCATCTCTGCGCAATCCTGCGTTCTAAACCCACGTCGCGAATGTTTCCCTATTTTGTCATCCAACACACTACTGAGTGAACCTCCTCCCTCTTCCCCGCTTTCTATCCTTCATCGGGAAAATTCTCGAGGTGGTCACCGAGGGCCGTTTCCTAGGGTCGCAACAACAAATGAGATGATGCAAAACGATTTGCCAACAGCTCGAGTAGTCAGGGGGCCCACTGTGGAAGTTGGTGCAAATCACACCCCCTCGCCTCATGCTGCGTTCTCCCGCACCCTGCCTCCCTCTCTTTCCTCGGTCGGTTTACTTTTTCGAGTCTCATGCAGTTTCCACACGTCTGTCGCCGCGTCTCTTCGACGGAGAGTCTCTGAGGTGCGCGCGCAAAAAAAAGCTTGCATGGCAAACGTGATCCGCCTGCGTGCGATATGCGAGTGCCCTTCGATGGAGAATCTCTGGACTGTGGTTGCCATGCGATGCAGGATTGCTCCGGAAAGGGCAGCGGGCGATGATTGAGTCTGCTCAGCCACGCGCCTTTGACGGAAAGTCGCCAGCCTTTGCTCGAGGTGCTCGGGATGCGCCTTAGCAGCGCGTAGCATTGTCTCTGCGCTCGATAGAAAATCTCCCGCGACTTGTCGATTGACCTACGGCGCCAAACACAAGTGACAGGCTAGATCGCACAAGCAATAATTCCGGTGGATGCGCCTCATTCCTGTCACGAACGCGGCTGCCTTGTGAAAAGATGTGAGACGGTACTTTTTGGCACCTTTCTTCGCGCCGGCGTCGGGTTTCAGCAATGTTTTCCAAACGCTCTCCGTCAACGCACAAGGCGGGTGATCGGCCCGATTCCCGTGGTGGGACGTGAGGCAAACTCCATGGACGGCGATCCTGGCTGTGTTCATTGTGTAGTAGGCCCCCGTGTGCAACAGCGGCTTGGATTCGGCAATGGTCGCCAAAGCCTCGCCAATGTCAGACCGAGGGAGGCCGTGGCCTGCGTCGTGTTTGCCGTCCAGTTTAGAAGCTGTCGCTGGTAAGCATTAAATGCGTTGTGCACCAAGGAACTCCCATGCCTCTCAACATGCGCGCGTAAACCCTCTAAACTCAGTTCGGCGCCCATCTCTAGCATTGAGTTCTTGAGCTGCTCGCACGGAGGCGGCAGCGCGGACATGGCAAATTTGGGCGCCATGGCGGGCGCCGCACCTTTGACGAACAATCACCGGCGCGAGAACGCCTGCGTGCAAACCCGAGCGGCCTGAGCCGACATGGGCCAAGGTGGCTACAAATGTTTGGTGATACTAACACTCGCCAGCATTCCCCTGTGCCCTGAACACGACCGGCACGGATTGCAAATTTGCGTACCCGTGTGCCCTGAGCAACACCGTCACGGATGGAGGCCGACACAGTCACGGATAGAGGCCGCGCTCGGGGACCACCCCTTGCGCACCCCTTATGGTGTCGAGAAAGTGCCACACTTGCTATGCCTGGACGACTGGCACGGATAGCGGCCGCGCTCAGGGACCACCCCCTGCGCACCTCCTATGGTTTCGAGAAAGTGCCACGCCTGCTATGCCTGGACGACTGGCACGGATAGCGGCCGCGCTCAGGGACCACCCCCTGCGCACCCCCATGGTGCCGAGAAAGTGCCACGCCTGCTATGCCTGGACGACTGGCACGGGTAGAGGCCGCGCTCGGGGACCAACCGTTGCGCACCCCCTATGGTGTCGAGAAAGTGCCACGCGTGCTATGCTTGGACGACTGGCACGGATAGCGGCCGCGCTCAGGGACCACCACCCCCTGCGCACCCCTTATGGTGTCGAGAAAGTGCCACGCCTGCTATGCCTGGACGACTGGCACGGATAGCGGCCGCGCTCAGGGACCACCCCTGCCCCCTATGGTGTCGAGAAAGTGCCACGCCTGCTATGCCTGGACGACTGGCACGGATAGCGGCCGCGCTCAGGGACCACCCCCTGCGCACCCCCTATGGTGTCGAGAAAGTGCCACGCCTGCTATGCCTGGACGACTGGCACGGATAGCGGCCGCGCTCAGGGACCACCCCCTGCGCAACCCCTTACGGCGCCGAGAAAGTGCAACGCCTGCTATGCCAGGACGACTGGCACGGATAGCGGCCGCGTTCGGGGACCACCCCGTGCGCACCCCCTATGGTGTCGAGAAAGTGCCACGCGTGCTGTGCTTGGACGACTGGCGCGGATAGCGGCCGCGCTCAGGGACCACCCCCTGCGCAACCCCTTATGGCGCCGAGAAAGTGCAACGCCTGCTATGCCTGGACGACTGGCACGGATAGCGGCCGCGCTCAGGGACCACCCCCATACGCACCCCCTGTGGTGTCGAGAAAGTGCCACGCCTGTTAGCCTTTTGCGCCCCTGCGCACCCCCTGTGGTGTCGAGAAAGTGCCACGAGCTGTGCTGAGCTGAGCTGAGCTCAGCCGTGCTGGGCTGTGCTGAGCTGTGATGAGCTGAGCCGAGCTGTGCTGAGCTGAGCTGTGCTGTGCTGATGTGAGTTGAGCTGAGCTGAGCAGTGCTGTGACGAGGGGGGGAGGCGTGAAGTGTGTGTGTGAGTGAGGGGAGGAAGAAAGAGAGAGGAGGGGAGGTGTGAGGAGACGCGGGTGCGGCGCGGCAGGGAAGATTATTCACTGCGTGGAGCTCCCCATATGTGCATCTACTCGCATGGACCTGTCCGCCGTGAATGTCTAGGCGCAAGAGCTTTCGAATATTAACGGGCTTCAGTTGTGACGGTCTGGACATCAATCTAACTGCGAATGAATTGGAGTGTGAATGAGCCTCAGTAGTACGAGCGCGTCTCTGTGCATGAGCCTGGGGCCTCCTGGGGCCTCCTGAAACCTACTGGGGCTTCCTGGGGTCTCCAGGAGCCTCTTGGGACCTCCTGGGACCTCCTAGGAAGGTTTCGTGCCCCAGGGGAGGCGCAATCTATAGCAACAGACGTACATAAAACATTGCGGATTAGAGCCACAGGAGAAGGGCAATCTATAGGAACACGCGTAAAACACCAAGGACTCGTGCCCCAGGAGAGGCCCAATACATAGGAACATGAGTAAAACATTTAGGATTGTGTACACAGGAGAAGGACCATCTATAGAAACATACGTAGAACATCAAAGAATCGTGCTCCAGGTGAGGCCCAATCGATAGGAGCATACGTAAAACACATGGGATTGGAGCCACTCCTGTTGCCTTCTGAGGCCTCCTGCTCCTGGGGCCTCTCGGGGCCTCCTGTTGCCTTCCGAGGCCTCCTGGCGCTTCCTGTTGTCTCCTGGGGTCTCCTGTGGTTTCCTGAGGCCTTCTGGAGCTTCCTGGGGCCTCCTGGAGCCTCTTGGGACATCCTGTGGCCTCTTGAGTCTTTCTGTGGCCTCCTGATGCCTCCTGGGACCTCATGTGGTCTCCTGGAGCCTCCTGGAGCCTGTTGGAGCCTCCTGTGGCATCCTGAGAAGAATCTGCGCCCACGAGCCTGGCCACCAAAACTAGCAAACCGATCGAGACATCCTCAAAATCTGGCCCACCTGGGGGGTGAAAATGAGCGCCTCGCTCGAGACATCCTCCAAATCTGCTCCGAAAGCGAAGGATGTTGGGCACAGAAACAGGCAAACCGCCTGAGACATCCCCACAAATGGCCGCGAACGAGCCCGTGCAACCACCCCTGGCGGCTCCCCTTAGGGGTGCTGAAATGAGCGCCTCGCTCGAGACATCCTCCAAATCTGCTCCGAAAGCGAAGGATGTTGGGCACAGAAACAGGCAAACCGCCTGAGACATCCCCACAAAATGGCCGCGAACGAGCCCGTGCAACCACCCCTGGCGGCTCCCCTTAGGGGTGCTGAAATGAGCGCCTCGCTCGAGACATCCTCCAAATCTGCTCCGAAAGCGAAGGATGTTGGGCACAGAAACAGGCAAACCGCCTGAGACATCCCCACAAAATGGCCGCGAACGAGCCCGTGCAACCACCCCTGGCGGCTCCCCTTAGGGGTGCTGAAATGAGCGCCTCGCTCGAGACATCCTCCAAATCTGCTCCGAAAGCGAAGGATGTTGGGCACAGAAACAGGCAAACCGCCTGAGACATCCCCACAAAATGGCCGCGAACGAGCCCGTGCAACCACCCCTGGCGGCTCCCCTTAGGGGTGCTGAGTATGAGTAAGTCTGTGTATGAGTAAGTCTGTGTATGTGTACGTCTGGGTATGACTAATACTGTGTATGAGTAAGTCTGTGTATGAGTAAGTCTGTATATGAGTATGTCTGAGTGTGAGTAAGTCTGAGTATGAGTAGGTCTGAGTATGAGTAAGTCTGAGTATGAGTAAGTCTGTGTATGAGCAAGTCTGAGTATGTCCGACAGGAGGGGAGGAGAAAAGAGGAGGAGGAAGGAGAAGGAGTAGGAGGCGTCCAAGTAATAACAAGAACCCCATCTTAGGATATGGGGAAAATCCAGAACCCCACGAAGCATGTGGGGAAAAAGGGGCTTCGTTCCTTATGTATCGTTCCTTAGGTCAGGCCGAATACAGTAGGAGTTCGACCCCGTGCCCTGGCAGCCTGTCTCGGCCACGCGTGGAGGGGGGTAGTGGGAGGGGGGGAATGTTTGGGGTCCAGCGCAGATCCAAGAGATCCGCGCGGAGCGCCAAAAGTTTATGCTTATGGCTTTTCCCCCCTCCTGTTGCAAACGCCCCTGCTTCTTGCGTTCTAAGAGGCAGCATCCCTCTAAGAAGCCTCCCTCCCTACTCCTACCCCTTTTCGTGCGCGCCGCCAACAGGAGAGGAGGGCGCAGGTATGCACCGCGCCAGGGCCCAGGATGGTCATGGCCTGGCACGGTGGTGGTGTATAGGCGCCTCCTGTGTGTGTTTCTCCCTAGCCGCCCCAGAGCCCCGGGGTGTCACAACTGCTCGGCGCTGGGCGTCCTCGCCCGTTCGCACGATACCGAGGGAAACAACAGAACACACCTCCCAGTCGTCAAGGGCTCCCTCGAGGGCGCGAAGTTATTCGCGCTTCGCGCTTCGCGGTCCTCGTTCCTTCTCCCCCTCCTCCTCGTCCTCCTTTTCTCCCTTTGGGGGGGTGGCGCGAGAGCGCGAAGTTATTCGCACTTCGCGCTTCGCGCAGCGCGAAGCGCCAAGTTGGGAGCCCTTGCTCAGGGGCAACGTCGCTGGGGGATACACCCAGGGCGGGATGCGTCGACCCCCGAGTCGCCGATGCATCACAAAAATTCGGAGCTGGGGAGAACACGAAGGGAGGCTCGCGCCCCCAGCCGTAGAGAGCAGGGCGGGGCGGAGCCCGCGCAGGACCGCCTCGGAATGGAGTGTCGAGGCGGCGGTCGGGGCTCCCACTGCGGATGTGCCCAGCGATGGCCCGCGCTCCCCGGGGCGCCCTGGCCGTGACTCTTCCGGGGCGTGCGCCACGGGTCAGCGCCAGGAGGGCTCACCCGATCCCCTCCGATCCCCCTCGGGACGACCTGGATAGCCACGTGGTGCCTTCTCCCCTCCACGCCCAGGCAAGAGACCCGCGCGGATTTCCTGCAGCATATGTTTACGATGTTTACATCTTCTGAGGTGCGCCGCTGCTCCCCGCATGGTAGACTTCTCGCCGCCGGCCGGCTCAGGCGCTCGCCGTCCTCCGATAGCTTGTCGCCGGCGCCCCGTGGAAGCCCCCTGGAGCCCCCCGGAGGCCCGAGAGAAGAAGAAGAAGAAGACAACAATGTTTACGATGTTTACGACGTTGCTTGTTGTTGCGGTTATGGCGAGCCGCTCAGGACAAGCATTTCCCTGGCAAGAAGATGAACAACGACTCGCCAGAGGACATGAAGTGGGTGTACGAGCAGGCCCGCGAGCGCGCGGAGACATACAGCATTCAGGGTGTTACGCCCTGGCCTTAGCGTCCGCGGCGCGCCCTTCTCGTAGCCTTCTCCTTTTCCTCCTCCAGCCCTTCCCCTGATGAATAGCTCCGCCCTGTCGCACCTCCAGGTGTGTCGGTCGGGCGGCCTGGGCGTTTCGTCCGAGACACCCTCAGCTTAGTGGATGGAGGGCGGGCCGCTTTAAAAATGCTCTCCTCGCCTCAGCGCCTTGTACAGTCAACGCGCCTAGTAAGGACGCGCGCCTTCATCTAGGGTACCCTTGTGTCATTGCCTCTGAGGCCCGTTCTTGCCATTATCACTGGTCGCCCGCCGCCCTAAAAAAACAACTTCGGCCTCCAAGGGTCTTGCGTCCTTATCACCCGTCCTTAATACACGTTTTGACTGTACATTCGTGGGACACGTTTGCAGCAGCAGCATCACGGATGGAAGGTGGGCTGTGTTGACCATGTGGTTCTCGCCGAAGCGCCGCGCGCAATCGTCATGACAGTTTGCAATAGTTTCACGGATGGGGGGCGGTTGGTTTGTGATAATTGGTTCTCGCCCCAGCGCCGCGCACATTCGCCGTCAACGCTTGCACCATATTCAAGGATGGAAGGCGGCTTCTTTTTCACACTTTGGTCCTCGCCTTCGCGCCGCGCACGGTCGTTTCACCCATGTGCAGTCGCCTCAGTTGTCCGTGCGGCCGAAGCCCCAGGAGTGGTGGCACGATGTTCTGTCGCGAGTTAAGGAGGGCCAAAAGGCGCAGCAGCCACGCTGCTCCGCAGCGTTGAAGTCCGAGGAGTGGTGCTATGGCACGACGTGGGACTGCAGGGATGCAGCAGTCGCGTTGGTCCGCGGCGTTGAAGTCCGAGGAGTGGTGCTATGGCACGACGTGGGAATGCAGGGATGCAGCAGGCACGTTGATCCGCGGCGTTGAAGTCCAAGGAATGGAGCTGCACTACACGTTCCACTACTCGCAAAGTAGCTCGCCGCCGCCGCGGTGCGCTCAGCCGAAAGGGTCGAAGACCACGTCCTCCTCCTCCTCCTCCTCCTCCACGGCCGCGGCCTTCCTCTCCTCCTTCTTCTTCTCGCCGCCGCCCGCACGACAGACGGTTTTCTTCGAATGGGCCATTTCCCGAAATCCTTTACGGTCTTCTGAAGAGGGGCCACGGAGGGAGGGTGAATTGCAGCATCGTTGGTTCGTCTTTGGCGTATATTGGTCCTCCTCCGCCTCCTAATCCTCCTGCTCATCATCATCATCATCATCATCATCATCATCAGCAGCAGCATCATCAGCATCATCACAATTATCATCATCAGCATCATCATCAGGACCCGACGAGGAGATGGAGGAGAAAGGGAAACCAGGGAAGGAGGAGGACGAGGAGGACCAGTGCAAGCCCAACACTCGGAACGATATTGCAGTACACCCTCCCTCCAAGTTCCCTCTTCACCAGCTCCTGCCAATATTCATTACACCTAGGGAAGCGAATTGTGACAACCGTTTGGAAATCCGGAACTCTGCCAGAACATCATCCCTGGGATTTCAACGCCGCGAATCACCGCTCCTGTTGCGTCTTGACGGTCCTGAATCGTGCCAGAACGTCGCTCCTGGGACTTCAACTTCGAGAATTCACGCGATTGTTGCACCCTTACATTCCGACATCGTCCCAAAACACCATGTCTCGGACGTAAACCATGAGGACCCGTGAAACTGCTGCAAACTCTTGAAACGAAGGCGCGGGGCGCCAATGCGAGAGCCACATTTTGAAAAGGAATCGGTCTCCACACGTGAAAGTCTTGCACTTTTGTTTAAGTCGAATGTGCGCGGCGCTCTGGCGAGAGCCACATTTTGAAAACGCACTGCCCTCAATCCGCGAAGCGCCTGCAATTGTTGAAGATAGTGTGCGCGGCGCTGAGGCGAGAGCCACATTTTGAAAGATGTCCGCCCTCCATCCGTGAAACTCTTGCAAACTCTTGCAACTAAGGCGAGCGCCACATGTTGAAATCGCACCGCCCTCCAACCGTGAAACTCTTGCATAGGTGAAGCTTCATGATCATGAATGCTGAGGAAGTCCCAGGCGAAACGCCTGGCCCGCCCTTTCGACCAGCCCAGGTGTGCGACAGGGTTGGTTGCTGCTGCAAGGAAGAAGGATGGAGGAGGAGGCGGGTGGTGCAAGAGGAGGCAGCCCAGGGAAGCACGTTGAGTTGATTAGAAGGACGCGCAGGGCGCTGGAGGGTGGAGGCACTCGAATCTTGGGCAGCCCCGCCGCGCTGGATTCCGAGGGCGGAGTGGGCACCAGCGTGGGGGGAGGGGGAGACAAAGAGGAGAAAGAGAGAGAGAGAGAGAGGAGCAGGGAGAAGGGCAAGCCACATGCGCTCGCGTCATATCTGACGGCCTACCCCTCCCCCACATCCCTTACCATGGCGTAGATCTCCTCTCTATTCGCACAATCGGCTGTCGCAGCATGGCATAGCATCACATGGCATAGCATGGTGTTGAAGATCAACGCGTCGCATGACATGACATGACGTGGCGACGCCCGAAAGTGGGGGCTTCTGCGGCCCAACAAATCAACGAATCGACACCGAATGTATAATCACTTCCGATGTTTTTCCCAACCATCCTGTGGTGTTGGGTCCCCGTTTTGAAGAGACGGTGGCCCGCGTCTCCTCTCCTCTCCTCCTCCTCCTCCTCTCCTCCTCCCCCTCCTCCTCCCTCCTCCCCCTCTTCCCTGCGTTTCACCCACCCAGTACAGCGCTTCGTAGCTCCATAGGACGCTCCGTCGAAGGCCCCAGTGCTGCCGCCCGCATGCGTCACCCACACCCAATTCGGCACACCCCTCACAAGTTTCGTGGCCCCATAGGAGCTCCGCCGAAGGCCCCAGTGCTGCCGCCCGCATGCGTCACCCACACCCAATTCGGCACACCCCTCACAAGTTTCGTGGCCCCATAGGAGCTCCGCCGAAGGCCCCACTGCCGCCCGCATGCGCCACCCACACCCAAGTCGGCACACCCCTCACACGTTTCGTGGCCCCATAGGGAGCTCCGCCGAAGGCCCCAGTGCTGCCGCCCGCATGCGTCACCCACACCCAATTCGGCACACCCCTCACACGTTTCGTGGCCCCATAGGGAGCTCCGCCGAAGGCCCCAGTGCTGCCGCCCGCATGCGTCACCCACACCCAATTCGGCACACCCCTCACACGTTTCGTGGCCCCATAGGAGCTCCGCCGAAGGCCCCAGTGCTGCCGCCCGCATGCGTCACGCACACCCAATTCGGCACACCCCTCACACGTTTCGTGGCCCCAGAAGGAGCTCCGCCGAAGGCCCCAGTGCTGCCGCCCGCATGCGCCCCGCACACCCAAGTCGGCACACCCCTCACACGCTTCGTGGCCCCATAGGGAGCTCCACCGAAGGCCCCAGTGGCGGCGCTCACATGCGCATGCGTCCCGCACACCCATTTCGGCACATCCGTCAAAGGTTTCGTGGCCCCATCATCCACCGGAGGTCCCAGTGGCGGCGCCCACATGCGTCACCCACACCCACCCCATTCGGCACACCCCTCACACGTTCCGTGGCCCCATGGGGGGCTCCACCGAAAGCCCCAGCGGCCGCGCTCACACGCGTCCCCGCCACCCATCCCGGCACGCCCCTCACAATAACAGGTTTCGTGGCCCCATAGAGAGCTCCACCGAAGGCCCCAGTGGCACCGCCCGCATGCGTCACCACCCGCACCCAATTCGGCACAACCCTCACACGTTTCGTGGCCCCATAGGGAGCTGCACCGAAGGCCCCAGTGGCGGCGCCCACATGCGTCCCCGCCACACATCCCAGTACACCGCTCACGCGCTTCGTGGCCCCATAGGGAGCTCCACCGAAGGCCCCAGTAGCGGCGCTTACATGCGTCTCCGCCACCCATCCTGGCACCCCCCCCGCAGCAACATCATGTTTCGGGGACCCAAAGGGAGCTCCACTGGAGGCCCCAGCGGCGGCCCTCACATGCGTTTCCGCCACCCATGTCGGCACGCCCCGCGCGTGTTTCATGTCCCCATAGGGAGCTTCACCGAATGCCCCAGTGGCACTCATCTCGGCACACCCCTCACACGTTCCGTGGTCCTATGGGGAGTTCCACTGAAGATGAAACCCGCAGCTGCGGTACTGACAACTGCATATGGTCGGGTCCTTCGCCAGGCTATTTTTTCTCTCAGGGGGGGCATTTTCTTGATGTTGGGGCTGATTCGGAAGGACCGAACACCATGCCGTGGCATGGCGCTGGAAATAATGACGCCAGCGTTGCAGCGGGACCACGATTCGGAACGAGCGGAAGCGCGGAAATGAGGCCAGCGTTGCAGCGGGAGCACGATTCGGAATGAGCAGTAGGCCGAAAATGAGGCCAACGCTTCAGCGAGAGCAGCACTCTGAAAACAAAAAACAAGCGCGGAAACGCGGGAAATGCGGACGCGTAGCTTAACATAGCATGGCGTGGCGACGCCCCGAATTGGGGGGGGGCCTCTGCGGCCCCAAAAATCAACGAATCGACACCGAATTCGGAATCATTCCCAATGGTTTTGTCGGGGGGGATTTTCTTGATGTTGGGGATGATTTGGAAGGACCGAAAACCATGTCGTTGCATGGCGCTGGAAATAACGACGCTAGCGCTGCAGCGGGACCACGATTCGGAACGAGCGGAAGTGCGGAAATGAGGCCAGCGCTGCAGCGGGATCACCATTCGGAATGAGCTGTAGCCCGAAAATGAGGTCAGCACTGCAGCGAGAGCAGCATTTTGAAACAAAAACCAAGCGAAAACCCAACTTACGGAAACCATTTGTGCAAACAACCAGTACGCGCAAGGGGGCGACTATTTCCCAGACGCCACCAGAGGAGAGGAGAAGAGTAGTATTCACATTGTGTAATTGTAGACAAGAGCAGGAGGAGGAGGAGGAGGACGACGAGGAACAGGAGAAGGAGGAGGAGGAGGACGACGAGGAACAGGAGAAGGAGGAGGAGGAGGACGACGACAACGACGCTCACGACGACTAGAAATAACTGCATGGCGAGGGGAATGCGAAGGAGGGGAAGGAGCAGAAACTGGAGGACTGGACGGCGGAGGAGGAGGAGGAGGAGAAGTGAATGCGAAGGATGATCACGAGGAGGAGCAAGACAAGGAGAAGAAGAAAAAGGAGGATGGGCCGGAGGCGAGGAAGGTGAAGAAGATTAATGGACGGCGAACGATGATGATGATGAGGAGGAGGAGGAGGAGGAGGAGGAGGAGGAGGAGGAGGAGGAGAAGGAGAAGGGTTCTGCATTGTGGGCATCAGGAGCAGGAGGGCAGAAATGGAGGGGCGACAGGGTTATTAGCCAAGGGGGGGAGGGAGGAAGGGCAGGAGCAGGGCAGGTGCAGGGCAGGGGCACGGGAGTGGGGCAGTGAGCGGAGGGGGCGGAGGAGGAGAGATCTGCACGGGGCAGGGGCACGGGGGGAGGGAGGACAGCACTGCATGGTGGCAACCGGTGCCCTTCAGGCAGTGAAGGCGGGAGCCGTGGAGCTGCGCTGGCACCCCGGCGGGAGGCAGCGAGCAGGACGCCGGCTCGTCGGGGTGGCGTGCGCAGGGCGGGGCAGCGGCAGGGGCCGCGGAGCGGCGGCGGGGGGGCGGCCCGGGGCGGAGCCGGGCGGCGCGCGGGAGGGGCGCGAGGCGGCGCGAGGCGAGCGGGGCGAGGCGGGAGGCGAGCGGGAGGGGCGCGAGGCGGCGCGAGGCGAGCGGCGCGACGCGGGAGGCGAGCGGGAGCGAGGCGAGCGGGGCGAGGGGGGCGTGAGGTGAGGGGCGCGCGCGCGCGCGAGGGGCGCGAGGAGGGGGGGCGCCGGGGCCGAGGCGAGCGACTTGGCATCGCTCGGACGTGTGCATTTGTCCTTCGGCGAGGGCCATCGAGGAACATCCTTGACCATTTGGCGAAAAAACCACGCACGAAACCGAAAAAAACACAAAAAATGAACGTCCGAGCGATGGCGAGGCGAGGGGGGCGAGGGGGGCGAAGGGCAGAGGCGAGCGGCGCGAGGGAGGGGCGCGAGGGAGAGGCACGGGGCGAAAGGGGGGTGGGCGAGGGGCTCCTCGGTGTCTCGGCATCGCTCGGGCGTGTGTGCCGTTGTGTTCGGCGGGGGCCATCGAGGAGCATCGTGGATCCTCGAGCCAAAACATACGCACGAAAACGAACTCATGCACGGCAAATGGACGTCCGAGCGATGGCAAGGTGTGGGGGGTGGCGTTGGCGCCGCAGCCGGCGCACTCACCCGTTGTTGGAGGAGGGTAGCTTTGGCGTGCCATGTCCCAGATGTGGGCTTTGGTTACTTGGGCGCTTTCCTATCCCAAGTGTCGAGCGGCTTCCACTCTTCCCTCGCTCAAGTGTCGAGCGACTTCCTCTTTCAAGTTTCGAGCGGCTTCAAGTTTCGAGGTTTCTTGGGCGCCTTCCTATTCCAAGTGTCGAGGGGCTTTTATTCCTCCCTCCTCGTTCGGGGGGGGGGGGCGGGCGGGATTCCAATCTGATGTCAACGCCGTTCTACGTCTGTTTCTACCCACGTCTTGTGACAGATGTGCAGAGGGCACGAGGGCGACAAGCGGGCAGCTGCTTGCGCAAAGGCTGAGGGAGGCTGTGCGGGCGCGGACCGACGCGCGCATTCAGAATCTGATCGGGGGGAGGGGGTCGAGAGGAAGCGGGGCATGTGCAGAGCATCGGAAGGAGGACTGGGATCGGGTCGGAAGGGAGAGATTGGGAAAGGAGGGTTGCGAGAAAAGCTGCGTGCGGCTGGTATCGGCCTCGCTGCCAGGCGCCCATCCTCGGTACTGGGACGCATCCGGCGCCGACGGGCGCCAGGCAGACCAGCTACGTGAGTGGATTCGCGACTCACCCTTTTGCTATCCCTTCCTTTCGCCCACACTGGAAGGAGGGAACGAGGATGGGGAGGAGAAGGAGGAGGAGGAGGAGGAGGAGGAGGAGGACGAAGCGACGGCAGGAGGAGGTGGAGGAAGAGGAGGAGGAGGAGGAGGAGGAGGAGGAGGAGGAGGAGGAGTGCAGGGAGAGGAGGAGGAGGAGGAGGAGGAGGAGGAGGAGGAGGAGGAGGAGTGAGCGACGGTAGGAGGGCAGGGAGGGAGGAGGAGTGGGAGGGAGGGAGGAGGGGGGAGATGGCAGGAGGCGGAAGTGAGGGGCAAACAGGAAAGGGAGGGCGGACGAGGAGGGGGGGGACGAGGACAGGGAAGGGTCGCCGAGGAGACGAGAGGCCCTGATCAGAAAGGGGTCGCGACAGGTTCGCAACCTGTCCCGGAGATTGCCCCGGGGTCAAGGGCCGTTTCCCACAGGAGTGGTTCTCGTGCTGAGGAGCAGCAGGAGGAAGAAGGAGAGGAAGAGGCGGAGTGAAAGAGAGTTGGAGGAGGAGGAGGAGGAGGAGGAGGAGGAGGAGGAGGAGGAGGAGGGGAAGGAGGAGGAGGAGGAAGAGAAGGAGGAGGAAGAGTAGAAGAAGGCGGCACAGGTACCAGCTGACGATGGGCGTCGTGAAGCGCATCATCCCGGCCATCGCGTCCACTAACGCGTTGATCTCGGCCGCTCTGGTTTCCGAGGCGTCGCGCGATCCGCAGACGTTCAGGAGGTGTCTCTAGGGAAGCCCAGGGGATGGAAACCGTGATATTGTGGTTGTGTGTTGTTTTTGGGTTGTTTCGCTCGTCCAGCACACAAGTCAAAGTTTTATTTCATCCCGGAGAAGCATCTGAATAGGGTTATGATAATGCCTTCCAGAGTGGCTCTTGCATTGTCCACTGAGTTGTGCTCGCGTTGAGTGCAGATCGTGGGTCCTGGATACTTGGCATGGCATGCACAACCCTCTGGACCAGGGAGATTTGGAGCGGTGAGAACCTTATGCAGCTGACACACTGTACGGCAATCGGTGGCTCCGAGTGATTCGAATTCTGTGCCATTGCCACACAGTGTGAACCCGATGCCATGGGAGGCCCAGCATGGTGAGAATTATGTGCCCTTGCCGCTCTTCCTCGACTCCAGGAAGTGCGACCCACGGTATCTCAGAAGTCCGGTGAGCATCAGGCGGTGGGGCATGCGCAACACAGAGGTGGAGATGTGGCCCGCACTGTATACAGGAAAGACGTTGAAACAATAACAGATTGTGTCCAGAGTTGGTTCGCTGTTCCCCAGGTCCTTCCATGGTGGTTCCTCTAGTTTCTCTAGCGCTCTTGGTTAGCCCAGGCGCTTTGGGGCCACCAAGGGCTTCGTTCCTCATTTCGCGGTCCTTCTTGTGGTAGCTTGACTGTGTGGAAATTGGACCGCAAAGAAAGATGGTGTCCTCCACGTTGCACCTTCGGGAGGCGTCGCCCGCCCCGGCATGGCGGCCCTGTCTCACATCCGACGCGAGCTCGGCGCGGACTCGACGCGGATGGTGGCGCGAGGGCGGGGGGGGGGGGGGGCTCGAGGGGCAGCGGCAGGAAGGGGGAGGGGGGGAGGGGAAGGGGGAGGAGGGGGAGGGGAAGGGGAGGGGGAGGAGGGGAGGGAACTGTGGGAACTGTGCATGAGCGACAACGAAAGTCGCATCCCCGAAGGGAGCACTTAGGCAAATAAGTGCGACGGAACGGGACGAGGGCAAGTCGCCTGGCCCACTCGCGGCCGCTTTCCTTGAGGCGGTGTGCCGCTCCGGTGGTGCTGCGAAGAATCGAAATCCTCGCCTCTGGAGACGACACAGGTCCTGATTCCGCGGACCCCGCTGCGCCGACCCTGATCCTGCGGGCCGGCTACGCAGACCCAGGAGGGCAAACATGTGCCACACTTGATTGTAAGAAACAATCGTGATGAGAGGGGGTCGAACCCTCCACCACGCAAAACAATGGCCGCCTGCTTGTCTCCGCCAACTTGGGCCAATCCCCTGACAGTGTGCCCTCCGCTTGAGGTAGCGCCGGTGCCAGGATGCGACACCGTGCCCCTGCGGAGGGGGAGGAGGGGGAGGAGGGGGAGAAGGGGGAGGGGGGGAGGAATGGGGGAGGAAGGGGGAGGAGGGGAGGAGGAGGAGGAGGAGGAGGAGGGAGGAGGAGGAGGAGGAGGGAGGAGGAGGAGGAGAGGAGGAGGAGGAAGAGGAGGGGGAGGAGGGGGAGGAGGGGGAGGGGTCGAAGCGCGCGAGCAGCACGTCGCCGATGCCCGCGCGGGCTTCTCCATGGGAGCGATGCCGCGTCGGCCCCCCCGAGCGGGCTTTTGCCGGGAGGCGGCGCCCGCGCGGAGGGGCCGCACGCCGGGCGGGCCGCGGCGGGGGCAGGGCGGGCCCCCTGTTGCACAGGAGGGGGAGGAGCACACAGACGCAATGAAAATCGTCGACTCCCTGGGAAAACATGGAGAGATATGGGAAGTGGGGGGGGAAGGCAAGAGTCAGGAGGGGAAAAAACACACAGACGCAATGAAAATCGTCGACTCCCGGAAAGTATGGAAAAATATGGGAAGTGGGGGGGACGACAGAAACCCAGAAAATATAGGAAACTATTGGGAATATTTTTATTTGTGTGTATTTATTTGTGTGTCCCAGGGCCCCTTCGTAAAGCTCAGGAAATGTGGGTAAATATTGGGAAGCCTGTTATTTGTGTGTGCATTTGTTTGTGTGTGTCCCAGGGCCCCTTCACTTGCTCAGGAGGGGAAACACAGCACACGGGCACAATGATCTGGACGCCCGAAATGGGTACGGAAAGAATGGGTACAATGCCCAACAGCAGTTCCTGTTCGTTTTGAGCAGGACTCGCTGTCGGTGTCGCCGCGGCCTGTTTCCATTCGAGACAGGAGGCCGCCGGCCCAACAGCGGCCGCTGCAGGTTTGGGACAACATTTGTTGTTGGGCATTGTACCCATTCTTTCGGTACCCATTTCGGGTGTCCAAACATGAAAATCGTCGACTCCCAGGAAAAGATTGGAAAATATGGGAAGTGGGGGGTGGAGACAAAAGCCCAGAAAGTGTGGGAAAATATGGGGGAATCCTGGTATGTGTGTGTGTGTGTGTGTGTGCAGTTCTTTGCGTGTCCCAGGGCCCCCTTCACTTGTGGGGGGCGGTGCCGCAGGGGCCACTCCTGTGGGGCGCCCCGCCGCGAGGCGGCACGGCGGAGCCGTGGTCGGAAGGGGCGGGGCAAAGCACGGCGCAGCGCATCTCAGCGGCGACGTCGGCGGCCCTCCCGCCTCGGGAGGCACGCCAGCGGCTGCGCCTCGCCGGGAGCGTGCCGGAGGTGCCCAGATCGTCCCGACGAGCCTCCGGGGAGCCGAGTTATGACACGAAATCCGAAGGGCAGCGTCAGTCAGGAGCGAAAGAAGGACGTACATGTACATGAATCCACGCTGGTTTCGAGAGCACGCATTTCACAAATGTTCGTATAACGCGGTCCGTCTCGCGAATCGAGGGGCCGTGTCCATGTACATAGCTGGGCGCGTACGTCCTTTGTGGGCTCCCTAGGTCAGGGGGGGGATGTGCCGAGGGAGGGATGCGTCGCTTCTCACTCGCCCATGTGGGCCCGATGGCCCACCCCGCCCAGGAACGTGCGGTGTCGCTATCGCGGGCACGTCGCCGATCCGTCGGCGGTGCGCCGCCGTTTCCGAGTCGATGTGTTTCCCAACCCCGAGCTGGTCCCCACCGATCGTTGCCTCTCACATGATGGCGATGTGATCAGACCGACCTGGCCGTGTCACGCTGCTTTTGTTGGCTCGGGCGCGCGTGACAGGTAGGGTGTTGAGGAGAGCCAGCGAACGTCTCGTGGTGCTCGCAGTGCCCCGAAAGCCCTGAAATCGGGAGGGGACGCGCAACGGCGTAGCAGCATGATAAACGCTTGGGAAAACGCATGCGTGCAGTCGTCCCTGCAGGCTGGCGACTGCCTGGCTGCGTGGACTTTTTGTGGGTGCGGCGAGGCCAGGCCCGTCCCTCCGGGGTCGCATGTTGCTTGACGCTCCTCCTCCTCCTCCTCTCTCTCTCCTCCTCCCTCCTCCTCCTCCTCCTCCCTCCTCCTCCTCCTCCTCCTCCCCTCCTCCCTCCTCCCTCCTCCCTCCTTCCTCCCTCCTCCCTCCCTCCTCCCTTCTCCCTGGGGAGAAAGAACGCCAGGAGTGGACGTTACTGCTCAGCGGCGCGCCCGGGGGCTGACGTGAGAAGGGGCGGGCCTTCTCAGAAGGCTCGGACGTCCCCCGGTCTTCTGAGCAGTCTCCGGCGCCTTCCCCGAAGGCTCGAAACAGTGCTCTCGGAGGGCCGGAGGGCCTCCGAGGAGGCCCGCCGCCTGAGGAGGCCTCCTCCGCCTCCCTTCCGGCCCCCCCCCTCGCTCGAGCTGCAGAGACCTTGGGGTTCAGCTCGGGCGGAGGCGCAGGAAGCGGAAGGGGAGCCGAGGGCAAGGCGCGGTGACGGGCCTTACTCCAGGGCGAAGTTACGCTTTGTTGGCCTCTTCGGCCCATCCCGACACCGCGCCTGGGTCGTGGTCCAGGGGACTTTGAGACAGTTGGGGGTCTCCTGGGGGAGTGTTCTTGGGGGCCTCTCGCGGGCATTCCGGGGCCCACTCGGGCGTATCGGGATCATATGTTGGAGGAGCTGGCTTCCAGCAGTGCGGCGGGGGTGCGCTTGTTGGGCCCCGCCTCTTGGGTCTCTCGTGGGGGGCCTGTTGGGCCTGCCTCGGGGGCGGCGTCTCCGGCCAGCTCGGGCGCGCTTGCCAAAGAGTGACTCTTCGCCATGGCTGGCCTCTGCTGCGGGCCCGAAGTGCGCCACCCACATCTGATGGGCCTGTGTTGGAGGAGGAGGAGGAGGAGGAGGAGGAGGAGGAGGAGGAGTGTTCCACCACACCACCACCCTAAGTTGGAGGAGGAGGAGGAGGAGGAGGACTCCCTCCCCCTCCTTCTCCTGGTGGTGGTGGTGGAACACAAGCCCGCCACGCATCTGCCCTGTGCGACTGTGGCAGCGCGGACGTGCGCGGCCTCGCAACCTCCAGCGTGCCTCTGGTCCATATGCCTCGACGGTCGCCAGCCTTGCGAAAATCGTGAAGTACCTGCTCGTGCAAAAGCTGGGGTTAAGTCGGGCGCGTTCCTCTTCAGGAGGAATATTCAAAAAATGTCCACGAATAGTCAGAGGACGCTTCTGTTGTAACTATTTAATATGTTGGGACTATGTTTTATGTTTCGTCCAAAATCCGCCTGTAGGAGGACATGCCCGCCCGCCGCTTCCCGATCCACACTTTCGACCATGTCTGTGCCTCTTTCCATCGCAGCCACCTGCATGTCTTCTCGCTTGCTTCCTCCCAATCCCTCCTGAATCCGGAACTGATGCAGAGGCTTTGAAGATATCTACGTATTGTGGGCCTGTCCTTAACAACTACATGATGTACATGGGGCAGGCTGTCGCGTGTGATTCCAGATGGACATGTCAGCATGTCTTGATTGACGCGCCCTCATTTGCCGAATGCGTTCCATCGCAGTCCGTTCTCATCGCCAACACGAGAATGGTTGCCCATTTCACCCATGCCGGTCTGACATGGTTACGTTCGCATCCGTTATGCCAATGGCCGAGCCGTTGCCTGATTGCAGGGGCCTCATGACAAGTTCGAGGGGGTAGAGTGGACATGGCTCGGGGAATGCAAGTATAGGGTGAATTACAGCTCCTGTGAATCATCCAGGGATATTCTAGATCCTCATGGACCATGTGAAATGCTTTAAACTCACCCCGCGTTGAAAACAGTGCTCCCAGACTGGTGTGTACACGCACACATTTGAGTATTCAGAATGCCTTATGGCAACGCCGACTTCCCAGACGTGTCGCTAGAGGAAGGGAATGGTGCGAAAGGGAAAGGACGGAAGGGAGCGCATGAGGGATAAGGAGAAGCACCCATTCTCCGGAGTCTGTCTGTTATCTTGGCATGGCGCTGGGGGAAGAGGGTGAGGTGGAGACGGAGTGCGGACGCTACGATGCTAATGTTTCCAAGTCGGCGCAACGCAACGTGTAAAGGAGGAGGGGAGAGTGATAGGAGATATAAGGAACATGAGGAGGAGGAGGAGGAGGAGGAGGAGGAGAAGAAGAAGGACGGAGGCATGGAGGGAGGAGGAGAAGGATGAGAACGAGGAGTACATTCAAAATTGACAATAAGGACGCACGGTAAGGATACAAGCTCCTTGGACGCGCATGTCGAAGCTTTTCGAGCGGGGCTGGCCATCGAAAGTGGTAAAGGATGTACCAGGGGAGGCAAGGATGCAAGGGTACCCTTGGGAAAGCTACCCATCCTTGCTATCGTTTCCGACTGCATGGGAAGGTTCTGAATGGTCTTAGTGTGTTTCGTTTGGTTCTGCCAGTGTTCGTGGGACTCTTGGAGATCAAAGCGGTTTCTGGGAGGGGAGAGTCCCCAGTCGGGAGGCGCCCCCGGTCGGGGCCGGGCGGATCAGAAGAAGGCCGACTGTATGGTCTGCGGCGGCGGACGGCTCACGCTGACCAAGCCACCCGGAACGACCTTGGAGGAGATGATTCGGGCACGAGCGAGTGGATGGTAGTCACCACCCACCAAGCCACCCCAACCCAACCCGAAGGTCTCGATTTGCCCTCCATTTCCAGTTGGGGGGGGGTCGGGGAACATCGAGAAAACACATATGGAGCCCTCACCCCCCCCAACCCGAAATTCGGGTCTTCGGGTTGGGTTGGGGTGGTCTGGTAGGTAGTCATGATAGGGGGGGGGGACGGAAGGTGCCCTTTTCGGGCCCTCAGGGTCCTGGGGCCCGAAGGGGCCCCCATTAGGGGCCCTCGGGGGCTCCTTTTTCGGCAGCCCTCGCTGCCCCCCTCCATACTGCCTCCAGCCTCCCTCCTCTCCCTCTCCATCCTACATCCTCCTCCTCCTCCGCCTCCTTCTCTCATTCCTCCTCCTCCTCTCCTCCTCCTCCTCCTCCTTCTCCTCCTCCTCCTCCTCCTCCTCCTCCTCCTCCTCCTCCTCCTCCTCCTCCTCCCCTCCATGCATTGTCCCCGCATGGATTCGCGCCCGCACGTGACTCCTGATAGCCGACCCGCGCCGCGCCTCCTCGAGCGCCTCGGGTTGCGCAGCCTCTAGCGCGATGCCGCCCTTTCGAGGTGTGGCCAGACCCTCGGACCGCCTCCGTCGAGGGAACCGAGCATCGGGGAGCAAATATTATGTCGGGCGTGTCCCCCTACAGGGGGATTTTCGGCGAAAATGAAAAATGCCCCAACAAGACACCAGAAATGTCAAAAGATACTCAAGAAATAGTCCCTAGACTATTTTTGGACTATTTTTTATTTTTGTTGGGGGTATTTTTGATTTTTCGTCGGAAATCCCCCTGTAGGGGAACACGCCCGACATAATTCTACAGATTTCTGATCAACGCTTCTGGGGGAGGCCGCCGCGCGGGCGGGGACCACGAGGAAGACGAGCACGAGGATGGGAGAGAGAGAGTCGGATCCTCGTCAAACAATCGGGGGACAAAAAGATACGGATACGTGTTGCCCCCCTTTGTTTTCGGCCTTTCCTGGTCCTCCTGGGGAATCCTCGTTGTCACCGCTGGATTCGCCTCGAAATTCTGGTCAGAACGCACCCCAAGAGAGGTCCGGGGACAACACGTATCCGTATCTTTCCGCCCCACAAAACAAGCCCTGGGCGTGTACGCTAAAACACGCTACACGCCGGTCGTTGAAAAGGAGGCATTTCTGGATTCCCAGAGCCCAATCTATTTCAAGCGCCTTCCTGCGTCAAGAATCGACACGCTTTTGCTGTGTTCTGTTATTCTCGGGGGGGGGGCCTGGAACCAATCAACTGAATCCGCCTTCCTACTTCATGTTCTTACCTCCTTCTTCCGGCCGACGCTTACGTGTGTGATGTTGTGAATTCTAGAAGCTTCGCGTATCCCCACCAGCTTCGCCCGCCGCTGGCGCGTTCGCCTGCGGCCGTATAAAAAAAAGTATCCCCACCAGCCTAATTAGGCCGCTGTCGTGACCCGTAGCGCTTCTGACTCCGCTAGCGCCTTCGCTAGCGGACGCGACCGAAAAAGTATCCCCACCAGCCCGTCCAGAAACGATGTCCAGGCGAGTTGAGGTGATCAGGGAAGTGCGGGAGCAGAGAGGGGGACGGCCGAGCCGTGCGAAGGAGGGAGGAGGAAACGGGGGAGGTCGGATGGATGGATGAGGGAGTGGGGAGAAGGAGGATAAATAGGATGAGGAGGAGGAGGAGGAGGCGGAGGGGGAGGAGGAGGAGGAGGAGGAGGAGGAGAAGGAGGAAGAGAAGGAGTAGGAGGAGGAAGGAGGAGCATGAGCAGGAGGGCAAGCAAAGGGCCAGAGGTCTCTAGGATGCCTCTTGGAGCCTCTTGGGATATCTATTGGGCGTTTCTTGGAGGACTGTTGGGACGTCTTAGGGGTCTCTTGGCGGTCCTGGGGGGCTCTTGGGCGTCTTGGGTGCCTCTCGGGCGCCTCTTGGAGCCATCTTGGAGAACATCGATCAAAGAAGAGGGAAGCTCCAATTAGCGGCCCCCCTCGGGAGCCCCACAAATCACCTCTTGGACCCCTCTTGGAGCGCTCTTGGGGCCGTCTTGGAGCTCTCTTGGGCCTCTCTTTGGGCTCTCTTGGGCCATCTTGGAGCCATCTTGAGGCCTCGGAAAGCCATCGGAACCGAAAAGGCGAGAAGGCAAAATCATTTGTTTTCCCAACGTTTTAGAAGGATGTTGGCCTCGTGGGGGCCTCCTTGGAGGTCCCGGAGGCCTCTTGGAACTGTCTTTGGAGCGTTCTTGGGGCTTCTTGGAGCATTTTGGGAGCCATCTTGAGGCATCTTGGGCTATCTGCAGCCATCTTGGAGGTCATCTCGGGGTCTCCGAGGCCCTCTTGGAGCCGTCTTTGGCCATCTTGGATGCTTTGACCGCTCGCGAAACCCCTCCCCGGAGAGGAAGAAGAGGGTTGGAAGAGGAGACTCCTCAAACCACCTACGCCCTAAAGGCCTGGTGGGATTTGCTTGTGTAGCGCTTTCTGGCCTTTGCTGCGGATCTGTAGTTGGTTTCCGTTTTCTTGTCAAAGGGTGTCCCTCACAGTCAAAAACCCTAATAAGGACACGCGACTTTGCTCAGGGTACCCTTGCGTCCTTATGAGGGCTTTTGACTGTATCACAACTGCCGTCTTCCGTCCCGCTCTCCCGCTCCTGCTGCCTCCCGCTCCGCACGCATTGCGCAGAGCACGCCCCAGCACCGCCTCTGAGACCGGCGGGGAGCAGGCCCGGAGGCCTCGCGACCAGCCATCAGTGACGCCTAGAGAGGAGCAACAACATTAAAATCAACAGAGAGGAGCTTTCCAGTTTGAAACACATCCCTATCCCTATGTTTGACATCACCTCGCCTCGATGCCGATCTCAAGGATTCCCGCAGTTTCTGAGGGCCTATCCCTAAGATTGTCCTCGCTTTTTGCTCGCCCGTCTTAGGGATAGGGATAAGTTCGAGGCTGGTCAGGAGCAACATGATGAACATCAATCTGTGGTCGTCCTCTTATTCCTTGTTTTGTCGATCGGCGCGGACACTCGCACCCCCTACGGAGGAGATGTTGTCTGTTTTTGGCTCCTGTTTCAAGCCGGTGGGGTCTCCCCCATAGGACACATTGCTGCAAACAGTCGCATCAAGCAGAGGGGTGGAGCCAGACCCCCGAATCTGAAAACGTTCACATGAGGGAGAATGGAGCTGAGGGGCGTGGTAGATGGTAATTCTGAATAGCACGATCAATTGATCTGAAAACGCTCCAAGGCTTTAAGGACGGAGCTCGAGCTCAAATCGATGGGCGATGAATACATGTTTTAAGCGTTTCTGTGTTCCCGGGGGGGCCTCCAAACGCTAGGACAATGATCTCCAACACGCCAGGGCAATCTGAAAAAGCGCCCCGGGCACATTGCGCAAGAACCTGGAGGAAGCGTGTCAAGAGTCGGAGGGCACCAACCATACACCAACACCGATCCTGGCCCAGGATCACCCTGGGCCCAGGATCGGTGCATATGCCTTCTTGCGCAAGGCAGGAGGGCGTATGCACCGTTCCTGGGCCCAGGGTGATCCTGGCCAGGATCGGTGTTGGTGTATAGCTGGTGCCTTCCTAAAGAGGAAGAAGACACCGATGGTGGCACATCGGAGGCGAACGCCGTGTGCTGCCACGGTGCGCCCGGGCAGCGCGCGGGCGCAGCCGGCCAAAGATGTCGGAGCCACTCGCGGCGAGCCGAGCCTGCGGCAGCCCTGGGCAGGCGGCTCGCGGGAGCGGGGCAGAGGCAGGAGGGGGAGGAGAGGGAGGGGGGAGGGAGGGAGGGAGGAGGAGGAGAGGAGGAGGAGGAGGAGAGGAGGAGAGGAGGGAGGGGGAGGGAGGAGGGGGGGAGGAGGGAGGAGAAGGAGGAGGAGGGAGGAGGGAGAGGGAGGAGAGGAGAATTGAGGAGGAGGAGGGAGGAGGGAGGAGGAGGAGGAGGAGGGAGGAGGAGAGGAGGAGGAGGGAGGAGGGAGGGGGAGGAGGAGAGGAGGAGGGAGGAGAGGAGGAGGAGGGAGGAGGAGGGGAGGAGGGAGGAGGAGGGGAGGAGGGAGGAGGGAGGAGAGGAGGGAGGAGAAGGAGAGGAGGGAGGAGGAGGAGGAGGAGAGGAGGGAGGAGGAGGGAGAAGGAGGGGAGGATGGAGGAGGGAGGAGAGGAGGGAGGAGAGGGAGGAGAGGGAGGAGAGGGAGGAGAGGACGGGGGGGCGGGCCGGAGGTCCGCGCGCATCTCTCGGATCGCTGTGGGAGGCATCCCCTCGGGGCGCCGCCCCCAGCGCACTCCCGCCAGCCGGGGAGGGGGTCCAGCGTTAAGTCGGGCCTGCCCCCTTACAGGGGGATGTTCGACGAAAAAAATAAGAGATACACCACAAATAAACGATACACCACAACTAATCAAAGCAGGGGGATTTTCGACGAAAATCCCCTACAGGGGGATTTTCGACGAAAAGTAAAAGATACACCACGTAGAATCAAAACATGCTCCGAAAATGGTCCGGGGACCATTTGTTTGATGTTTGTTTTACCTTTTGGGGGGTATGTTTGGGGAATTTTTTATCTTTCGTCGAGCATCCCCCTGTAGGGAACCAGGCCCGACTTAAGTCCAGCGCCGATCCAGGAAGTCCGCGGGGACGTCCGAGAATGTCTGCTGCCGTGAAATCCTTACGACACCTGGAGGCTCTTGAAGGATTTCGGCATGCGCGCGCGGCGACGCGCGCGCGCGCACTTCGTTCCATCTTGTGCGAGCGGTTCTTGCGACAGCACGCGCGCCAGGGCGCTTGAATCATGCCGACAGGCGCGCGCGAGGGGCACGTGTTTGGTCGAAGATGAGCGGTCTTCTTCTAGCAGGCCAGGAGGGAAGGCAGGGCCGACTGCGATCCGAGTCGATGTGGTTCGATTCGCCGGTCGGGACCGCGATTTCGATTCTGTTCGAGTCGGCTTGACTCACCGCTAGTGGCCCTTGGCCGGCCAGAGCGGAGCGGGGCGAGCCGATGGCGATTCGACCCGGGGCGGTTCACTGGCGGCTCGAGCGGTGTCCGAGTCGGTCCGGTGTCGCTGGTCGATGCAGTCCAGGCCCGGAGTGGACTCGGGGCGACCGCACGCTTTTGGGGTTTGGACCGCTCTCTCTGGCCCGAAAGTCGTTCGACGTTGCCTGCGCATCTTCCTCCCTCTCCTCCTCCTCCTCCTCCTCCTCCTCCTCCTCTTCTTCCTTCCTTCTCCTCCTCATCCTCATCCTCCTCCTCCTCCTCCTCCTCCTCCTCCTTCTCCTCTGCAGTTCACCCCCTCACCCCCCGTGCGGGGGCGACGCGGGAGGCTACCCCATTGCGTCGGAATCCTCGCCCACACTGCCAGCCAGCGTCGTGCCCGCTGGCGCGGCTCTGTGCCCAGCTGGGTTGGCGCACCGTGCGCCAGCGGCCAGACGACGTTGCTCCTTGGTAAAGTTGCGCGTCGCTGGGGGGCGGCGGCGGGGCAGAATCTGCGCGCCTCGCTGCACGGCTTCTTCGCGCGGGTCCCGAAGGCCCCCCCAGGCTGGCCAGGGCCTTGCCGGAAACTGTTGAGCACCCCGTGGGATGGTGTCGACGTTGCGCCGGCTTTCGTCCCAAATCTCGCGTCCTTCGGCGCCCCCCTTGCTCGCAGATGTTTTTTGCAAGTGGATTGTTGCGCCCGCTTGTGGAGGAGCTCCTGGATTCGCTTGCCAAGGACCCTACGTACCAGCTGAAGAGGCCGGATGGGAGAGATCGAGTTGAGAAACGACGGAAGGATCATATTGCATGCGCCAGGAAAGGGGAGGATAGGGATGCTTTTACCAGTGTCTGCATAAGGCTCGATTGGGTTTATAGATAGGTGATTGCGTCTTTTTCTGATCTGTTGAGTGTCCCCATCCATCCGATCCACAAACGATCGCCAGTCGAGTTGCCTTGGTTGAGGAGTTGTAGGAGCACGCAGTGGAACAGAGAGCCGCCAAACCGAAATTCGGAATCAGCCCAAGCATATGCATCAATGTTCGGAGGAGGGACAAGAGGAATAACGAGACTGAAGTGGTAGAAGGCGGGGGAAGAACAAGAGGAGCAGGAAGAGGAGGAGCAGCAAGCAGGAAAAGTAGGAGGAGGAGAAGGAGGATGGGGGAGGGATGGGGTGACGGCAGCGATACTAAAGAGGACGAGGAGGATGAGTAGGACAACTACAGTGACGAGTGACGACGCACCGCGGTCGCCAGACCCCACAGGATCCCTGTGGTCCCCGAGTATCCCGCCTCGCGTCCTCGACGACTGACGATGCGATACCGCGGACGCCAGACCCCACAGGAACCCGGTGGTCCTTGAGTGTCCCGCCTCGCGTCCTCGACGGATGACGACGCGCTTCGTACCAGACAGCCCCAGGGGGGGAGGCGTCACGGCGTCACCTGGCCGGACGCTGGTTGTAGTAGCGGTCTGCGTTCATTTGCAGTCCTCCTTTGTGGGAGTTCACCCAGTGCCACGGCGGAGGTTTTATCACATGCTGTTGTGTAAAAAGTATTTCCGTATACAGGGACTGGGCAACACACGCGTTCTGGCGACGATCTTTTTATGTTCGGCGAAGATTTTGGCAACCTTGGCTGTACCGTTTGCTTGCTCAGCGAATTCGGGCAAACGAGTTATCATACAGAGATGATGTGCCTACTGTCTGTCGACGTTGTGGCGCGGATGCCGAACAAGCACTGCAAGACAACGCAAGACAACACGAAACACGGCAACACAATGCAACGCATTGCAATATATTGCAAGCAAGTGCAAGGCAATGCCACGCAATGTAAAAACAAAAAAAAAAAAAAAAAAAAAAAAAACGCAAGACAACGCGAGACAGTGCAAGTCGATGCGAGCCGATGCAACCCAATGCAAAGTAACGCAAGACATTGTAACACATGTGGAACAATGCAACGCAAGACAACGAAAAACATGCAATGCATCACACGAAAGTACAAGACAACGCAAGACGATGTCAGACTTCACATGAGGGTGCAAGACATTGCAAGGCAACGCAAGACAATGCAATACGCTCTCTTCCAAATGAGGGCGACACAGGACAGTGCAAGACAACGAAAGACAATGCAAGACACTGCAAGACAATGCAAGACAACGCAAGGCAATGCAAGGCAAAACAAGAATGTGCAGCACAATGCAAGACACTGCGAAGCAAATTATGGCATTGCAAAACGATGCCAGACAATGCGCGAAGTGCATGGCGGTGACAGGCATTGCAGGACGATGCGTGACAATGCAAGCCAATGAGAGATAATGCAAGACGATCCAGGACAGTTCAAGATACTGCAAGAGAATACAAGACAGCGCAAGACAAGACAATACACATATGGCCAGCACACGACACGGCCAGACATTGGATCAGATTGCAAGGCAGCGCAAGACAACGCGAGTACATGCAACCCACTGCGAGGACATGCAAGATGATGCGAGACGCTGGAAGACGATGCAAGACGACGCACGGAAGTTCAAGCCGTTGCAAGACGATACCAGGCAATGCCAGGCCACGCAGGACGGTGCAAGACGGTGCAAGGACATGCTAGACGATCCAAGGCGATGCAATACGATGCAATACGCCATGCAGGGCAATAGGCGACAACACAGCGCAAGACAGTTCAAGACAGTTCTTGGAAATGCGAGGTGGTGCCAGGTAGTTCGAGATAGCGCAACGCAATGCAACTACGCCGTCAGACAATGCAGGCGTTGCCAGACAGTGCACGGTGCCCAGACTGCGCAGGAGACGGCTACGCCTGTCAAGCTATGGCAAGACAGGGCATTGCGAGGCAAGACAAGGCAATGCGAGGCAAGACGACGCGAGAGAATACCAGGCAATGTAAGGCAACGCGTGGCAGTGCAAGACATTACGTGGCGATGCAACAAAACGCGAGGCACTGCACGGCGCTTCGAGGCAATGCAGGGCGCTGCGGGGTAATGCAAGGCAATGCAAGGCTACGCGCGGCAATCCAAGGCACTTGGAGACAATGCACGACAATGCTAGGCGGCGCAATGCAATAGAACGCAGGAGACTGCAAGACAACGCCAGGGAACGCACATCAACTCAAGGTGATGGATAGCAGCGCAAGACACTGCACGACAATGTAATACACAGCAAGACAATGCGAGACAGTGCAAGGCAATGGGAAACCATGCAACGCCGTCCGGACAATGCTGGACAACGCAAGGCAATGCAGGTCGCTGCAAGGCCAGGCCATGCAAGACAAAGCAAGACATCATCAGACAATGCAAGACAGCGCAGGACAGCGCAAGCCTCTGCAAGGCGCCGAATGGCACCCCGATGCCATGCAAGACAAGGCACAGGAGCGAAAGAGAGCGCACGGCAGTGCACCGCAGTGCAAGACAGCGCAACACAATGCCAGGTGTTGCGCGGCGGTGCAAGGCGTAGCAAGGCCATGCCAGGCAATGCAAGACCAGATACCGCAATGTAATGCGTTCACGGCTATGCAAGACAATGCAGCGCACGTCGGCCCCATGCAAGCCAAGGCAAGGCTTTGCAGGACAACGAAAGACAAAGCAAGACCAGGCATGTCGACGCGCGACAATGTGACCCACCCCACGGCAACGCAATACACTCCAAGACAATGCGAGGCGCTGCAAGACATTGTAAGACAGTGCAAGATTTCACAAGGCAAGACATTGGCAAGACGGTGCGCGGCACCGCAGGACATCGCACGGCAACGCGCGGCAATGCAAGGTGATGCAAGGCAACGCGAGGCAATGCAAGAACATGCCAGACCAGGCAAGCAGCATATCGCAACATGGCAATGCATTGCGAGAGGAGGTAAGACAAGGCAAGACAGGGCAATCCCAGACAAGACAAGGCACGACAAGGCAAGACCGGGAAAGGAACGACAGGGCAGGGCTAGACAGGGCATGTCACGACGCGGCAAGGCAAGGCAAGACATGGTAAGGCGTTTCGGGACGAGGCAAGAAACGTTGCGGCAGGGCAATGCGAGGCAGGGCAAGGCAGGGCGTGGCCAGGCATGGCAGGACAACGCAGGACTTGGCAAGCCACGGCAAGACATGGCCAGACAAGGCCTCGCGTTGCAAGACAGGGCGGGGCACGGCGCGACAAGGCGAGACATGGCAATGCACTGCAGGGCCAGACATGGCAAGGCAGGACGCGGCAGGACAAGGCATGCCAGGGCAAGACAGGACAAGACAAGGCAAGGCAAGGCAAACCAAGGCAAGGCGCGGCAGGGCAATGCGGTGCACGGCCCGGCCAGACAAGGCTAGACAGGGCAAGGCAAGGCAAGGCAACGCAGGGCAAGGCCAGACCAGGCGCGGCATGACACTTCAAGACGAGGCATGATAAGGCTTGACATGGGGCAGCAGGGCAAGCCAAGGCAGGACAAGGCAAGACATGGCAGAGCAGCGCATGCCAGGGCAAGACACGGCAAGGCAAGGCAAGGCATGTCAAGACACGTCAGGGCAAGGCAAGAAACGGCAAGCCGAGACATGTCAGGACATGACAGGTCAAGGCAGGACAGGGCGCGGCACGACGCGCCAGGACGCGGCAAAACAAGGCGAGGCAAGACTTGGCAGGGCAAGGCACGGCAAGGCAGGGCGTGGCAAGGCAAGACAAGGCGCGTCAGGGCAAGACAGGGCAAGACATGGGAACGAGGCAAGACAAGGCCAGACAAGGCAAGGCAAGGCAACGCAACGCAAGACAATGCAAGACAGCGCAGGACAATGCGAGTCAATGCAGGACGCGGCGAGACAAGGCCAGACACGGCAAGACGAGGCAACATAATGCAAGACAGCGCAACAAAAGGCAAGTCAATGCGAGAATGCAGGACTTTACAGGGCATCGCCGAGAACGCAAGGCATTGCGGGACAAACGCACGACCATGCAGGAACATGCATGCGAATGCATGGCAAGAGGCAGTGCAGGACAATGCAAGACACTGCAAGGCAGCGCGAGACATCGCAAGGCAATGCAAGCCAAGGCAAGACAGGGCAAGTCAGCGCGAGGCACTGCCTTATAATGCTAGACAATGCAAGGCCATGCGCGGCTACACAAGGCAACGCAGGGCAATGCAAGACCATGCAAGGTCATGCAAAATAATACAAGACAATGCAGGGCAACGCAAGACAACGCAATGCATTGCAAGACTACGCGCGACATGCAAGGCAATGGAAGGCATTGCAAGGCAATGCTGGACCAACTTAGGCAACGCAAGACATTGCAATGCAATGCGACACAGTGCAAGAGAACGCCAGACAGCGCAACGCAACGCATCACAAAACCACGCAGGACAACGAAAGACTATGCACGACCATACACGAGGAGGCATGACTGTGCAAGACTATGCAGGACGATGCGAGACGATGCAAGATTGTGCAGCATGTCTCAGCAGTACGAGGCAAAATGATGCTGTACAACGCAAGACAATGCAAGACCTTGCAAACTGTGCAGTCGCGCGCAGAAGAGATGCAGGACAGTACACGACTACGCAAAGCTATGTAATATTATGCATCATTGTTCAAGGCTATTCAAGACGAGGCTAGACGATGCAAGCCTATGCAGGACTACGCAAGGCTCTGCAAGACTACGCGAGACAATGCCAGCCAGCGCAGGAACACGCAATACAATACAACTCAATGCAAGACAACGCAAGGCAATGCAAGGGAGTGCAAGATAACGCCCGACAGTGCAACACAATGCGGGACAATGTCTGACAATGCAAGCGAGCCCAGGGGGGAAGCGAGGAGGGGAAGGCCTTCGCAGAAAGTGGCGGGGCTATTCAAGAGCCCTCGCGCCGTTTGGGCAGATGCGTATTTCAGCCAAGATAAATGTGGAAGCGAAGCGAAGGCAAACCCGAAGGAAGTGCACACTCTTCGAAAATCGCATGGAAGATTCAGGCACGGTCGATAAAGTGCGAATGATGCCAGTAAGGTGAGGGCCAATCCAGAGCTAGTTTCAAAAACCGGCACGCGTGCCCGATCCACAATGAGTTCAAGGCACATTCGAGCGAATCACGCGCTAAGATAAAACAGCATACAAACACTGCCGACCACTGTGGCAACAAGGACATTGCACATTACAAGTTCGACGCATGTAGATGCAAGAGGGACATCAACACGTAAAGGCCAGCCAAAGGATCGTTCCAACAATCTGACGGGAACGCTATGCATGCGAGGAGCAGTCGTAAAATTAATAGAAACGAATGCCCCTTGGACCATTGGAGACACGCTACATGCATGCGAGAGGCAATCGCACATTCAAGTAAAATGAGAGCTCAGTTTGAGCCACCTTGTTGCGCAAGGATCGGAGGAGCGTCCCCAACCACACCCATGGCGAGACGAGGCATCTTGTTAGCCTTGAATATAGAGAGGGAGAGTGGGTGTATCTAAGTATATGTGTGTATGTCTTGTCGGTAGCCGCATGATTAATCAGAATGAGGGGGCCGAACGGTCATCCACAGTCTTTGGGCGCGTGGCTGAAGCGGGGTTCCGCGGTGCGAACTGGTGTTCCCTTTCTGTTTGTTGTTGTTTGGTTGTTTGTTTGTTTGTTTCGTTGGTTCGTTCGTTGGTTAGTTGGTTGGTTGATTGGTTGTTGTTGTTGTTGCAGGTGTTGCTGTTGATGTTGCTGCTGGTGTTGTAGTTTGTGTTGTTTGGGTTGTCGTTGTTGTCGTTATTATTGGTGTTGGTGCTGGTGTTGTTGTCGTCGTTCCAGTCGCAACCCGCCCACGACCCGCCCGCGACCCACCCGCGACCCACCCGCGACCCACTTGCCGTCCACCCGCGACTCAATCGTGACTCATCCCGCGACCCATCCCTCGACCCAGCCGCGATCCGCTTGCGACCCACCCCGCGCCCGCCCCCTCGCTCTTACCCACAACTGCGGGGTATTCCTCTCACTTGCTCTTTTTCTCGACTAGCTGGGGACGCATGGGGTGGGATAGCATTGCCCTCAAGGCCAGCAGGGGCGCCCCCACGGACATCAGAACGGGCGGGATCGTCCTCCTCATCCTCGGCGTCATGTCCATGCTGTCTATCGTCCCGTGTGACTGAATCGCCAGGTCGGGAGTTGTATGACAGCTTTGCCCGATTGTGCGTCGTCGAGTCGGGTGATTGTACAACGCTCGATGGTGTAGTTGTCGTCTCATCCGCCGGCTTCAATACTGTCGCGACTGCCGTTGCCAGTGACGTCACCGCTGTGCTTGCCAAAAATGAGATGTCTACATACATATGCACATATATATATATATATATCCAGACGAAGTGCGGATAGGAAATGACAATGTGCAATGGATTTTGCTATACCCGAGCGACAAACGGAGTAGGAGCGGCATTTTGTTTCTCCCTAGACGGCATCGGTTCGAATATCACGGCTTGTGATGTGGTCTGTTCAGGTTGGATGTGGTGTTTGTGTTGGTGTGTATTTATCGTGGAGGCTGGCGTGTGCAGGAATGCGGTGGGTTGGCACATTGATGTAAGGCGTGGCGCATTTCATGACACGTGGCGTTGACGTCGTTTAGTCTGTCGCCGAGGGGCTGGGCAGGGCAGAGGGGGCTGTCGGTGACCCCCCCTGCTCTCAGAGCAAATTGAAGCAGGCCGTCCATCTCCGGCAGCAGCGGCATCATCTTCATACAAAACCCGAAGCCGATAAGAGCGAAGCACGAGTACAAGTTGAAGGCCCGTCTTCATGTCGCTGCGAGTCGTCGTCTTGGACGCTGCTCTTTGACGCCGCTGTGCTCTTCCAATCATCGCATGATCTCAAACGATAATTCTGGACACTTCGCGTAACCCCACCAGCCCATCCAGAAACGATGCCCAGGGGGGTTGTCTCGATCAGGGATGCGAAGGAGCATGTAGCGGAATAAAAGGCTTAGGAAGCCGTCATATCCAAAGAGGAGGTGGATGGCAGAGGAATCAGAGGAGGAGGGGAGGGGGAGTGGAAGGGGGATGAGAGAGGAGAGAGAAGGAATTTGCGGATTAGGAGGAGGAGGAGCTGGAGGAGGGAAACCAGAAAGACCAGAGGCCTTTTGGATGCCTCTGGGAGTTTCTTCACATGTCGCTTGAGACCTTCTTGGAGTACTCTTGAGGCATCGTGGGGCCTCTTGTTGGTCCCGGTGGCCTCTAGGAGCGCCTTGGTTGCCTCGGGGAAGTCTCTTGGGGCCCTTGTGTGGTCTCTTGGGGGGCTCTTGCGGACCTCTTGCAGGCTTCTTCGGGCCTCTTTGTTGGGGCACTTTAGGGGCACTGTTGGGAGCCTTTTAGGGCGATCTTGGAGGATACACCGCACTCACATGTATACCCCTGGGTGGGTGTATGTGCGGCCGTTTTTGCGCTGTCATGTGCGCGCATGTGCGCGGCATGTGCCAGTCATGTGCCAGGCCTGTGCGGCCCTTCTTGGATGGATTTCCTACTGTGCACGTCGTGCCCGGGCATGTGCGGGGGCATGTGCGCTGTGTTTTGGTGTATCCATCATACGCACATGCACGCACAGTCCGACGCACATGCGCGCACATGCCTGCACATGCGGGAGGTGTTCGAGAATCGCAGATCTGTCATCGGCACATGCACGCACATGCCTGTGCAACCTCTCTTCGGGAGGCCGCGCGGGCCCGCACATGCACGCACATGCGGTGAAGCGCGCGGGCGCACATGCGTGCACATCCCAATGCACATGCACGCTCATGCCCTAGGATCTGTCTGGGACCCTTGTGCCTCCAATGCCTCCTGGCCTTCGCAGAGCTAACCTGGGGCGTGCCAGGGCTTCCTGAAAGAGTTTGTTGTGCGTTTAGACTCGCCCGCTGCTGGCGGGAGCGGTTCTTCGCCCGGTGTGTGAGCTGGCGGCGGCGTGCCCTCCTAGTAAAACGCTCTCCCGCGCGCCTTCTCAGCTCGGCCGGAGAAGCAGGGGGGGGAAGGGGAGGGGGGGGGAAGGAGGGGGGGGCGGAGGAGGCGGACGCCCCCGGCTCGGCCGGCCCGCCCGACTGTTCGGCTCGGCCAGACGAGAAGGAGGAGGAAGAGGAGGAGGAGGAGGAGGAGGAGGAGGTGAGAGTCGCGAGGATGTCTCAAGCGAAAATGGCTTGAAGGCCCGAGCTCAGGGAATCTCGGAATCGCTGGCCTGGCTCGGCCATTGGCGAGGTCGGCATGTGCGAATACTGTGCGTACCTGTGCGGGGCATGTGCGGGACGTGCAAGAATGCCGGGGCCGGCGTTCGTCTCCGGGCGCCGGCGCGTTCGCGTCCGCGCGCAAGCCGCGCGCGGACGAGCGTTCGCTTGATTGCGCGGCCCCGACAGACGGGGCGCCCCGCTCACGCTCCGCACAGGCGCGCGCAGCGCTCGTCCCGCCCGCGCTCGCCGGCAGGAGCGGCACGCCAGAACAATGCGGGAACGACCAGGTGCACAAGGCATTACTGCACCACCTTCACAAGGCTTTGCGCGAGGTCGTGGGGCAGCACCCGATCTTACGAATGGGTCAGCCACTGTCGCCTGAGACGTCCTCGCAACCCTGATCTCAATGATGCCCTGCTCGATAGTGTCTCGGTTCCTTTCGCTTGAGACATCCTCGGTACTCTGGGTTCCGAGACGCCCTGAGCTGAGCTGGTTAGACCACTTTCGCTTTAGAATCCTCGCCCGAGATGCCCTGAGTTGAGGTGTTCAGGCCACTTTCGCCTGAAGCATCCTCACAACTATGACCTCAATGATGCCCTGCTCCATAGTGTCTCGGCCTTTTTCGCTTGACACCCTCGCAACTCTGGGTTTCGAGATGCCCTGAGCAGGTGGTCAGGCCACTCCTGCCTGAGACATCCTCGCAACTCTGGGTTCCGAGACGCCCTGGGCTGAGGTGGTCAGACCACTCTCGCCAGAGGCATCCTCGCAACTCTGACCTCAGAGATCTCTTGCCCCATGGTGGTCAGGCCACTTTCGCCTGAGACATCCTCACAACTCAGACCTCGGAGGTGTCCTGCCCCATGGTGGTCTGGTCACCTTGACCAGCGACATCCTCGCCACTCTGGTTTCCAAGATGCCTTGCCCCATGGTGGTCCGGCCACGCTTGCCTGAGACATCCTCGCAACTCTGGGTTGCGAAATGCCCACTATCGCCTGCGACATCTCTGCGGCATGTGCTGGCATGTGCGTCTATGCTTTCAGAGTTTTGCTTGACCGTGCATTCGAGTGTGCGTCGGACGGTGTGGCATGTGCGCGCATGTGCGGCAATGCTGTTAAGGCTTTTGTATATTTGCATGGGCATCTGCATGCGACTGTGCGGCATGTGCCTGCATGTGCGGCCCCTTCCGGACCACAATTTCAAAGTGAGCATTATAGAAGTGAGCGCTATAGAAGTGAGTCCGGTGTATCGGTGAAAAAAGGGGGTCCCTAATTAGCGTTGCCCCCGCAGGAGGCCACAAATGGTTCAAACCTGAGGAAAACATATCCTGGCGAAGGACCCAACCATATGCAAGCATGAGTACCGCAGGGCACGAGGGACGAAGGAGGGGGGCGCCCCACGCGGCCACGAAGCGGGTGATGGGTTTGCCGAAGTGGGCGGGGAGCCGCTTGTGCACCCTACCACTGGGTCCTTAGGTTGAGCTCCCGATGTGGCCACGAAAGGTATCAGGGGTGCGCCGACGCGTATATGCGGTTGGCGGGGAGCCGCATGCGGTCCCTGCCGTTGGGGCCTTCGGTGAAACTCCCCATGGGGCCACGGAACGTGTGAGGGGTGTGCCGAAATTGGCACGGGGCGGGCGGGGAGCCACACGTGGTCCCCTTCCATTGGGGCCTTCGGTGATGCTCCCCATGAGGCCACGAAACGTGTGAGGGGTGTGTCGAGGTTGACATGCGGCAGGGGGGGGGGGGGGAAGGTGTATCTTGCCATTGGGCTTTCGGTGGGGCCCCTTCTCGGGCCACGAAGCGTGTGAGGGGTGTGCCGGCATTGACATGTAGTGGGCAGGGAGCAGCACGTGGACGTTGCAACTGAGGCTTTGGGTGGAGCTCCCGACTGGGTCACAAAGCGTGTGAGGGGTGTGCCGAAATGAACGTGCGGTGGGCGGGGAGCCGCATGTGGACCTTGCCATTGTGGCCTTCGGTGGAGCTCCCTAAGGGGCCACGAAGCATGTAAGAGCAGTGGCGAAATGGTCATGCAGGGGTGGGAGGGGGGGGAGAGTTTGAGCAGGAGGACGCGGGGCGCCGTCTTTGCAAAACGAAGACCCAGCACCACAGGATGGTTGGGAATGATTGTTGCCTTCTCGCCGAGGCCTTCTCAGACGCTCCAGTGGGTCGCGGTCACCCCTCCAGACCCAGGAGGAGGGGGGTAGGGGGAGGGGTCGAGCTACCCTCCCCGCCCGCAAGCCGCCTCGCTCACTCCGTCCCGTCTTCCCGGCAAAGAAGTAGCACCCGAGCCTCAGCATGTTCAGCGGTCGTCGCTGGATGGACAGCTACCAGGAACCAAGCCCGACCCCATGTGCGCGACGCTGTGGCGAGATGCGTCACGCGAGCCAGGCCCACCACGCGCGCCCGATGCGCGAGGCACCCCTGGGGCCCAAGCGTGCCAGGCACGCCTGGCGTACCAGATGCGCCGCGGGCGCCATGTGTGCCGCATGCTCCAGCCACGCCGGGTGCGCCACGTTCGGGCCACGCGCAGAGTATGCCAGGTGTTCCCGCGCACGTGACAGCACACACCAGGAAACATGTCGGCCTCCACCACTCTTGTCGAAAACCACTGCGCAATTGCGGCGGGGTGGCCATCATGGTGTCTGGTTGGCGTGCACATAGAAGGCAACATGCCAACACCCCCACTGTCCCTGTCAAAAACCAAAGAACAATGATCGCGGGGTGGCCACGCATGATCCAGACTTAGCCGCGAAGTGCATGTTTCATTGTTGCTTGACAGGGGTGGTGACCCTGCGTACAGCAGGCAGTATGCTGGCACCCTCGCCGTCCTTTTCAAAATCCATACAATGCGTTCGCGGGGCCCACGAGCATGAATCAAGCCTTTGCTCAAGGTGTATGTTGTAATGCTTTTGTGTTAGGGCTGGTGGTGGGCTTTATCATGGGTGCCCGCATGGGTACCGGAGAGCTGCCGGTCGCCTTGGGGAGGGGATGTTTATTCTTAACCTGGAACAGTGACAAATCTTTCCCCGAAGTGGAAAAGGGTTGGAAGAGGAAACGCGCTAAACCGTTCACGCCAAAAGGGCAGGTGGGATTACGCAGACATTTCAGATGTTTGGTTTCTGTGGGTAGGAATTGCTCTAGGTAAATTGTCCTCTCAAGAGCCTCGGTCTCTCGTTACAGGGCACCGGGAGATGTCACCAGCCAGGTGTTCGATCGTCTCGGGATGTGCACAAGACATATCCGAGGGCTTTGTTCTACATGTTTTAGATGGGTGCAACGAGACTGGGAAGACCTACCGCGCACGCACCGAAAGACTTGCGACGGTCAGTGTCAAGGAGTTGTCGAGAGAGCATCTCGAATCTACCGTGACGCAGGTTCAAGCAGCGAATGGCTCAAGCAAGAGTGCGCACGACGCCTCCAAAAGAACCGGAAGAAGGGCCCCACATTCGCTGGCACCGCCAGCCAGCCCTCAATGGGCATCCGAGAGCATGGAAGCCCACCTGCGCCGTACGGGCTTCCGAAACACTTGGGGGCGTCCCAACATTGATTGAAGATGGTTCCAGGAACCCTCACGACGCTTCGACAAGGTCCCGAGGAGACCCCCAAGAAGACGCCAAGAAGCAAGCACATGTTTTTGTTGCTAGTGTTTCTTAATGTTTTGTAGAGCTGTGTATTCTCCTTGCAGAAGTGT